AATATATTTTGTTTTTTATTTCCGTCAAAAGATAAGATATATAGATTATTTTTACGATACTATTATCTCGTGTCTTTAGATCATATAAAGATCTGTCATTCTGACTGGAGTCGTAATATACTGAAAATAATATAAATAGAATTAATTTACAATTAAAACATAACGTAGTGTAACGAAATATTGTTGTAGCAAAGAAAACCGAGTTTCAGAAAGGAAAACAAGCTGCGAAAATTCAACTAATGATGCCAATTGTTGTTGTTTGGAAACCGTGGATTTTCGAAATAAATTTTTAACCGGTCTCGGGCGTGGTTATACGAAAAAGTTTTATTCGACCGGCGTGTCGGAATTGTACGGGGTTTTATCAGACAGAGAAGGAACTTTTACTGAAATAAACTTTTACTTCTCCTATCCCTCTCGATGGGTAATCCGACGAAGTGTACAAAATAATAATATTGTAAAACAAAATCGTACAATGTGAGTGTAATATTAAAAAAAAAAAAAAAAATTATGATCCTCAACAACATATAATATGTACTTAGAATGCTTATTTAAAAGAAAAGAAAAAACTGCTACTAAATTACGTTCAACTTGTATTTTTTACGACTTAGTGCGACTTATAATGAATCAAATATTACTTTTTTTAAGCATTTATTTTTAGCCAAATAATTGAATCCACATAATACCTACCAAATAAAACCTGTAAAACTCGAAAATATGAAATGTTATAAAAACCTTCGTTTGATGTTTTCGCAATTTTGTCGCATCTAGAAAAAGCTAATATAATTCCTTTGTATACATTTCAAGTCTCTATTATTATTTGTATACGAATAACAAAAAGAAAAAAAAAATCGAAAATAATGAAATTGTTAACGCTATAAACTTTACCGTGTTTCTTACCTTTTCTCTAGGTTTTTCTTAATTGTTAAGAAAACTACACGGAAAATCAAAAGTAAAGTGCTTTAATAGACTAAGCACTAAACTTGAATTTTAAGTAAAATGTATCATGGTCACACGTGGAATTTATCGGACTATTGATTGAAAACAAACCCAGATTTGTTAGCAAAACCACGTTAGGTATGTTACATTGGCGCAAAATAGTCACCTGCGGTAGTCGAGATGATCGAAAAGTATCGATATAAAGAATAAATAAGCGCACATAATAATAAAACAAATACATTCCTCACTACGTTCAGAATATGGAACGCAATAAACTATAAAAATTATCTTGTTATAAAAAAATAAAAATATTTTTCTACACAATGAAACGCATATCCATACCTTATATCATATAAAATTATGATTATTATGAAACGATTTGAGCAATTTGGTCGTAGAAAAAAAAATGTGTTGGAAATTGCGAATACGCCCTCTTATAGTATGATATATAATATATTGTAATATAACAACTATGTATTCGGATTTTCAATCGATAAATACCTACTTCAAAACGGATAAAAGCGCTTTATACTCCATCTGTACTCGAAAAATGTATGGTTACGTATATAATATATATATACTGTACACACTACACGTCTGCACAAAAAATAACAATAAAAAAAAAAAAAATGTATAATAGTGAATCCAAAATATTGGTAGCTCTCGCGTTCCAAGTATAGAATCTAAATAACGAGTTGTTCAAAATTTCAAATAATATACGAGTAACAAAAGAATAGCATGCCAGTGTTCGAACCATGTGTAGGTCATTGTTGTATATTATAGGTGGAAAGATTTTTTTAGGAAAATTTGGAATGTATATAGGATACAGGGCTTAATTTATAGTTTTTTTGTTATTAGTCGTATCTTGTTTCCGTTATAGTCAGGTAACCCAGAAATCAACAAAAATAAAACCGAAGAATCGTCATCCGTTGTCATTATATTTACTTTCTTGAAAAACTGTTAGGAATCTATAACAAATCTTCGAATAATTTACTAGCAAAAAAACAAAAATATCCTTAAGTAGTAGGTGTCCGTTACACGAACTTCCAGCTACCGTTTTAATATTTAATTTATTTTAAACCGATCCTCTAATAGTTATGGTTGCCATGACAACATGATCGCAGAATCGCTCATGGGTGTTAATATTTCATAATAATATATTATATTTTATAGATTTAAATAAATTAAATTTGTATTTGTTTATGATTTGTATTCAATAGATACCAAGTTATTGATCACGTCTAGACCCTTATCATACTATTTTTTGCAATTTACTACCTCCACTATCGTTCAAGTAAAAAAATAATATTTAACTTTTGAAACAATATGGAATCGAAAAAACAAGTTTTATCAAGATATTTAAAGCGGTTCTCGAAATTTTCGCCGTTATATAAACTATATGGTCTATATTATCTGTTTGAACTTTCAATCGGGATCTCGCCCCGTTGATTAGAAGTTGAAATCTTCTAATGGCACATTCTAAATAACAATTATGTTGTTTGTATAGATAAATTTCAAATCCATTACTATCAACTTAATCAACTTAATATCAAATCCATTTATTCAAATGATTAGAAAGCGATTTGAAAGTTGAAACTCCCAAAAGGTGTCCTTAAGCCTAAAGCTTTAAAGCTAATAAAGCTCAAACGATTCCACAATGATTAAAAAAAAAAACATGAAACAAATTAATTTCAAATTCTCCAAGAATATTGGTGGTTCATGATAACAAAATCATCATGTACAGTGCAATAGTGTTTTTTTCCGGGGAAAATTCAAAACACCACACGAATATTATTCGAAAACTATTGTAGTATTTATGTGAACAAAAAATAAGTCAGGAACGTTAATTTATCGTTTATATTTTATTTTCATAATTTATGAGTACAAAATTATATGACGTACCTACATATACAACCGTTGACAAATAATAATATTATTAACAATATGAGTCAAACTAATCAAACTGAAAATTATAGTTAAAATATGAAAATTATACGCCATTAATCCCGTATAATATGATGTGTTTTATAATATACGTGACGTATTTCACATATTACATAGCCTATATTTAAATACCTATATACGGATATTATACACCACACAACATTATATGTATTACGTTTAAACTATCATCGGTTTAGTGCCAGTAGATGAATAGATGTGAAAAATATTATAATTTCGTTTCCTCGCGTAAAAAAAGAGATTCGTGAATATCCGTCAAACGGATAAACTATAAACTATAAACGGATAAAATCCAAACATGGTTACAAATGTTGAAATGTTATAAACTCGAGATTAGCTGATGATTGTAAAAACTTCTGTAAAGGATATTATATTATAGGTATTGCGACAATCCGTGCGTATATATTCGTAATAATATTTCGACCAGCATACTTGTGTGTATTTGATGTTATAATCGTGCTTTCCCGTATAATTACCGATTTTAAACCCGCAACCTTTTGAAAACTCCTAAGTTCAAATACAATCCAGAACTTTAATTATAATAACTATATAATTACTGAAATCTAAAATTGTATTATGTTACAATGATATGTAACGTTTAGTTATAATATTATGTTTTTAATATTACGATGTGACTCGCACAAATTTAACTCGTAAAAATAAAATGTTATAAAATTACAGGTGTTTGGCTCCAAAAAACGCATTACATCAACATTTTTTTATTTGAAAGACCATAAGTGCTATACGTATAACCAAGAGAATTATTTTATTTGTACGCGTATGAATTCAAATAATATTATTCTACTGAGAAATCAATCGTACGCATAGACTTGTATACAAGTCCGGTAGTTTTATCCGGTATAGTAGGTTATGTAGATCCACCGAAATTGCATGTAACATTATCTAGTGGACTTGTTGAAATGAGATTCAATAAATTGCCACGATACTATAGGCAAACAGCAAACTTAAATATTTTGTTATCTTGTAATTAGGTTTCACAATGTTCTTTTAGTTTTAAAGTATTTATAAAGTGCTGCACTCTAAACCATGGCAGTTCTCTGTACTAGTTTTATATACTACTCACATAGACATTTTTATTAATTATTAGCGGGCACGTGCTATGACTTCCACTATTTAACAACCAAAGCACATATGATTTTACATTGTACTTTAAACGAATATATAGAATATAAGATTAAGTTTAGTGTAATATTATAAACTATGCTAACCAGTAATCAGTATTAGTAGTCCCTGTAGGTATAATTGTAATTATTGTTATATTGTGAGTTATTCCTTCGAAAAATTTCAAAGTATAGGAAATAGATTAAATGGGTTGAAATACTACTTACTGTAATTTAATTTGTTATAATTATAGCAATAAATTCTTATCGTAATTTAAATTTGATAAACTTAAGATTTGATCTTTGATTTTTCATTAAAATAACTTATTTATTTTTTTTATATTTACTTTATAAATAATGAGTTGTATTACTGTAAATTAATATTTTCAACGTTTTTTATTTGAAAAAGAGTATTAAATGTCACAGTATGAAAAAAAAACAAACCCAAAATTACCTGCATGTTTGTATGTTAATGTTAATTTTTTTAATTAAATTTAAAAACATAAGAATGGACGTTGGGAAAGTATGTTAAGCATCCTAAAGTTGAAATGTAGGATGCTTAAGTTTAATTAATTTATATTTTTATACCATTAAATTATAGCCGACGAAGTAAAATTTTGAGCGAAAACATGTTAAGGAGTGCCATGCTTTTTTACCATCAAACATAACTTATGACGTAAATAAAATGTTCAAATATTTCTATTTGGTCAATAAAATTGTATCCACATAAGTCCGTGGTTTTAAATAATAACAATGAAACCATATAACTGAACATAATATATAATAAAAAAAAATAACATATAATAATATTAAATTAAATTTACTCGTATCGAAAACTATACAATATTGATTTAAGCCAAACATTGGAATTGTATTCAATTTTATCTAACTAACGTCCAAATGGGCGATTCAAATCACAAGTAACGCCAATGCATTTTAAAAAATAGATACATAAACATCTAACATAGGTTGTATGATTATTCATTTCCAACGGTCAATATTATCGTTCATTGGATGATCATCCTGCAAATCGATCACAATGTTCGGACACGGTGGACGTTTATCGGTCACAACGTTCGTGCGAAGCCTGCTGACCCACTCCAACAGTCCCACGCACACCTCTCCGGCCACTATTAGCAGGCCTACGAAGGCGTTAACGCAGCCGACATCAGACATCATAGGATTGTCACTATAAGAAAATGCGGTTAGTTACGGCAAGAACATTGTTTTTAAGAATTGTTCAAATTGGGAGTCTTAAAATTGTATTAGTTTTAAAAAGTCTTAAATTAAGATTAGTTGTTCACGAAAGGGTTCGTTGAGATCTTCTGAATAAATTACCTATGATACGCAATTTTAAAAGTTTTAATGAGCGTCGTTTCACTGAATATATTTGTTTTCAATAATTCGATATTATTTGATTTCATCAGAAAAAATTGATCTTAAAAAAGGTTTTTTAAATAATACAATACCAATTATCTAATTAAATAAAAATAGATACCCGATCGAAGAAAATATTATCACTAGGGTTCACTAAGGCTCATGTTTATACATTTAAAATAACTATAATATGTACGAATTTATGCACTAAAAAATTACTAAATATACACTAAAAATCATAAAATACGAACATAACAATTTATTTAACCTCAAGTATTTTATTTACGTTATATACGTTATAAGTTGCTATAAAGTTTTAGATTTTAACTCGACGTTCCCGATAAACGACAATAACGTGACACACGTGACAGCCGGTACACGGCCGAAAAACAAACAGTAGCGAAAACGGTTCTGTCAACGGAGAATTGAATATTATTACAGGTACTGCAATAATTGTCGTTAGTACGAAATTATATTATTATAAGACCCGGTGGCGTAGCCGGTACACATTAAACGGCCCCGATACCGGATATTTCTTTCGTCCCACAATGTTATAATGTCACCACCGTACAGACCTTATACGATAAGTACTTAACCGTATACTCGGCGTGAAGTCTATAAAAAAAAACTCACTAAAACAGTACCGTCACTGTATTTTAATCCGGGCATAGTGCTCCTTGCTACGAGGCCACTGCGGCCACGACCTTTTATAAAACGACCCATGATGATGTCTGCCGATGAGATAGCGGTCAAGATTTCCAACGCGAAAAACGACGGCGACGATAACAATTTTCGGGTCATGTCGAAACATACACATAAAAGCAGAATCCGAAAATAAAAAAAAAAAGTTACAAAGTTTCTTTTGTTTCCCTTGTATAGTAATATTGCTGTTTTTGTCTTGAGCATTTTTTCTTATAAACGTTCTAAATTTTTTCGGCCTTATTCTGAATCTTGGTAAGACGTTGACATGTTCTATTCACATGTCCCGCGGGAAGTTTTAAAGGTGCATTTTGTATAGATAGGTACTTTTAGTTTAAATGTGGATTTAATAAGTTCCTCTTTATTGGCGGAAGTAGAACGTTTGGCAGAAAATCGGTTTAAATGATTGCTGAGGAGCCAATGATGCTTCTAGTTTACTTAAATTGCTATCAGAAATATTGGACCTCTTAAATACCCAATGTCCCTAAAGAAGTATTGGGTGGATATTTTTGATTTTAAAGTTTCGGATTTTCATATATAACGAGTAAAAAATAATGAGTTTTTGATTATGAAGCTTTAATAGACATGACCTTAATGTGTTTTGAGACGTTTTATCTGTTAATGTATGTGTGTGGTCTATGATGTATATTTTGATACAGATAGTTGGACCATTATCTGGTTGGGGTTTGATGATTAACAAGTGAATAAACGAAAACGAATGCTACCTAAATGTATTAATTTAGGATTAAATATATGAGAAAGAAAGGCAATATCGATCAAAAACAGCGTTTCACTGTGAGATAAACAATAGTATTACAATTATCGGCGATGTGTCGCTTTAAAACACAATTTTTGTATATTTATGTGTATTTAGCTACCATCGTTACTGAAAGAACGCTAATTAGCTGTTTGGTTGTCGTTTTGCAAACACTCTGTGATATAATATATGCAAAAAGTCCAATGCGGATTATACGGATTACGTGGTTCTCGGAAGGATACGTACCTAAGTATATTTTATACTAAAGGCTGGAATTTCTCATCGTGGACGGGCTTCCCAAAATTGTGTTATATTATAAATTCACCTAGAATTAATAATTTAAACATTAACCCGCGAAAAAGTCGTTTTTGAAACTAAAACAAACATTGTTAGATACGAAACAATATGAACGAGTTTGACATTTTTGAAGAGGTGTTCATCAAAAACTCACCAATTGTCTGTTTTCGAAAATCGTTCTGAATCGCCAATCTTTAATTGTAATTTTCTCCATAACAATGATTTTGGGATAAGAAATACATAATATATTATCTTGATAATTCGTATGTACAGAACATGTATGTTAAGTTGAAATTATTTCGAAATTAAAAAAAAAAAAATACGTCTGTTTTCTGTATAAGTGGCGTATTGAGCATAGCGATAGCGGCATGAATGGATATTCTATGAAACAGCTGCCTAATAACTATACACCTTAAATAAGTATATAATTTTGTTTTTCAAATAGAAACCTCCATTTTTAAACGCAGTTTCAAATAGAGAATATTTTTCTAGAAATGTTGATAGGCATAACAATACCAGATTTACCGTTTATGAGTGATGACCATTTAAAGTTTATACCGGGAGAGTAGGGAAGGGTAATAAATTGCACATCTATTTTTAAATGATACATTTTTTACCATTCCATACTCCTCCGGTCTAAAATTTAAACGGAATATCTGATATGGGTGTTACGCATATCAATATTCTATTGTATTTGAAAAACTATAAGCATATAATTAATTAAAATTAAAAATTAAACATAATTTTAAAAATAAATTTTCTCAATTCCCCAATGATTAGAAAAAGCAGAAATCGAATTCCTTTAAAATCCTTTGAAAAATTTGCTGGTTCGCGATCAAAAAAAAAAAAAAAAAAAAAATCACTCTGTAGCATAGACTTAGTTTTAGTTTCCGGTTCTTTCGAAAACTATGGGTTTTTTTTTAGTTATTATACTGTTATCATATTATCATATTGCTTATTACACACTAAACAATTAAGTTACGTTTTCAAAATTATTTTCAGATACACGATAACGTTAAAATGATCGGGGTTTATTCAAAATGCAGCGGTGTATGGGGTTTACACTATGCGGATCAGTGGAGTGATTATATCTAGGGCCGGGTACTAGAGAATTTGATTTGCGGGAAAATCAAATAGTTATCACTCATAACGCCGCTGAGTGTACGCGTAGACCCGATATTTGATTATGGCGTGTACTCAAACGAAACGCAGATGAATAATGATTTCTTTAAATTTTTAATTTAATTAATATCGCGCGGGCAATGATTACCGTCCGGTTTATTTGTTTTAAATGTATATATTATTTCAAAGAACCATAATATCGTTGATAAAATATATTATGATATTAAATCGTATACCAATATAAATATACGAATATTGGAATAATAACACGACGATGGGCGAACGTACTTAATTAAAACGACGGTGACTTTCACCGTTATTAATGATAATACCCGATCACGAGAACGGTTATGGTATCGATTGATAAAAAAAAAAAAAAAAAAATGATCAAATGTATTCGAGCCAAATTGGAACGTGCGGACCGAAATGATCGTCGGTATTAATTATTGAAACTATCGAAATAAAAAAAAAAAAACAAAAATGTTTGCTTTTGAATGCGACGACGACGACGTTTAGATTATTTCGCTATTGTCAGCATTGTTTGCACACTATTAGGTATATAACACGCGACTCGACGTATTTATTTTTATTGTTTTCATTTTAAAGAAACAGTCGAATAAAGTCGCGCGTGGGCAATTATAACGGAACTATATATATAAAAAAAAAAAGCGCTGATACTACGGGTACGGGTGTGCCAATGTTGTAGGTGAAAAGTTGGGAAGGTAGGATATATATAGTTATTTAAATTATATCTATAAATAACGATAAACCGTTGCTAACGAAAAACAATTCTGAGCGAATATCTTTAATACATGTTTTGATAGGCCGTAATATTTAGTATTTTCATCAAGATTTAATATTAAAACGAATATATTGAAAAATAAAAAGCTTAATGACGTTATATTTTTTTTTTCGACCACTACTTACAAATTATATCAAACCTCATATTAAACATTTAAGTATTTTTGTTTAGTCAATCAATTATATTCACACACCAAAGAAATACTACGTTAAAAACTTTCAAATATAAAATGCCTATAAATATTTCAGGAATCGAAAATTTTATCATGTCTAAAAAATTAAAATGCATGTAAGTATTTTGTTCAAATTTTAAGATTTTTAACTGAGGTAAAATAAAAAACAAAATTTAAAATAATAAAACAAAACAATAAATAATAGTTTATGTGAAATTTTCCTTTTTTTCTACGTTCTTTGTATACTTTCTTACTCAACAACTAAATTCAAAATGAAAATAAAAACGTCGTTTTTCGTTTTTTCTATTTGAGCAAGATTTCTGGCAGAAAGTATAATTTGTCAAAATTTCAAATAAACCGTTATTAAATTAAATTATATTAAATTTGTCAGTTTTAATTTAGCTTCATTTTTGGTTTTAGGCAGTTATTATGGAAACCCTTTTTAATATAAAAAAAATGACATTTGGGACAAATTAGATTTAAAATGCAACAAAAAAACTTTGTAGTCATTTTTTGATTAGAGTATGATATCTGGTAGAAAAGTTGATCACAGACGTGAAAAAAAATACACTTTTACCAATAGAAACCCTCGCTCAGTTTCGAGTCTAGAAGGTTAGGTGAACGGCAGAGCTGCGTCACTATATTTGAAAATTCCACCATCTATTTTGTAATTAAAAAAAACAATTTAAAAACACTTATTATTCGATAGTAGATATGGAATTACCGTACTGATGATAATTTCTATAGTTTGACGTGTTATTCTATGACAATTAATTGTTTTCGTACCAATTTGCTAGAAATTAAAACGATTATTACTAAGAAAATATTGATCGATTATGTATGTATAATGTATTAAAATGTTTAGATTAATATATTTATCACAAAATAGGCAATTTGAAACATTTTAAAAAGTGAATAAATGAAGTCATTTTTTTCACTGATTAAAGGATGAAAATTAAAAAATTATATGTTTCTCAACATTATTTGTTATATTATTGACTCAAAATCTGATTGGCCATATTGTTTTGGCCAAATATTGTTTTTTTTTTTTTTTTTTTTTTTTTAAACGAATATTGACAGATATGTTTCCACAAATTCGGATAACATGGTAGGACACCCTGTATATTTATCTTTTGAAAAAAAAAAACAGCTGAATTTGTTTTTAAAAAAAGTAGTGTAAATGTTGAGAGCTGAAATCCCCAAAAGATACACCCTTGACCGGTAGCGTAATTAATAGTGAAGGAGTGCCAAGGGACTACAGCCACTCCTCTTGTGTATGTTTGTGTACTATTTTACTGTTTGAGTGCTAACATGTTTCCGGTTATTTCTTCTCTTCCTAGAAAAAATTGTGTACACTGAGCCACATAAAAACGTATTTAACGAATATTACTGTTTTTTTTTAACTATCGGTATCAATTTAGGTTCAAGTATTAGATTAAAATCTTATTTAAACTCTTTTTTTTCTTCTTTTTGTTTGGGTAGCAATTAAACTGCCCATATCTTTCTGACCTACGTTCGTCGCTCGAAGAAAAACTTACCGAACGCCCCCTCCCTTCCACACCCATAGCTCAAAATGTTTGCTAAATTACTGTTCTCAGTGCTAAAGCTATTCATATAGAACGTTTCGTAATCCCGTTTTAAGGGGTTCGAGGATTAAAAAAAAAAAAATCCTACTCTATGGTGGGATTTTCACCATTGAAATCGAATTCGAACCTCATATCAATACCTAAAAGACGTCCGAAAATCGCAATACCCAAAAGTCCGAAAACTATTTATCGCTGAGGCTGAGGTGTAGGCGATTTTCGAGTAGCCGAGAACGATGTCAAGTGCGATAACATAACAATTCTCGGCGAAGAGTATTGCGGATAGGCGACCGAGGGGGGAGGGAGGGGGAGAGGTTGTTTGGCGTAAGTAAAAATCGCGTTCGTCTGGCGCGAGCGTCGGGGATCCAACGCTCGCGGCGGGCGAGTCGTGACCGTCGTCGTACTCGTGTCGTCGACGCCGCCGCCACCGACCGGTATCAGTCGTCATCCGTACGCCGCCGACGTCAAACGACCGAGTTTGCAAAACTACCCCGCACCGCGCGGTGGCGCGCGAGTGTCGTTGTGTTTACGGTGTCCACGTAAAAAAAAAAAAAAAGTTAAAAAAAAAAATTTAAAAACGTTCAGATCGCCACTGCCGCGGTCACTCCTCTGTGCAGTAATAGGCACACTCGGTACGGTTTTCCGGTGTTGCTCGGCACGGTCCTGTTCCGCGCAGGACACACGTACCATCCGAATCCGCCACTCTGTTATGCGACCGTCCCCCGGCGGGCACGGGCACGTCGTCGCGGGCTATGTGATCCGCGGTCCGCGGCAGCCGTCCGGTCCGGTCGCCGCTGCCGCCACCTGACAGGTGAGTACCGGTTTCCTTTGCGCCCTTGCCCCACTCCCTTTTCGAAAGCCCAGTGTTTCAGGGTTTCGAAGAGTACGAGGAATGGAAAAAAAGTATCGGAGTGTCGAATCGAGACACACAGGTGGTCTACGTGTCAAACTGTGTAAAAATGAAAAAAAATTAAGTACTAAAATATTATTATGATTCGAGGATTTTTTTTTCCGATCGCTAATCGGTAATTTTACAGTTCCTTCGGGCCGAAATGATTTCGTTTAGGCGTCATCTCCTTCTCTTTAGTTAGACAGCGTATACCGTAAAAAAAAAAAAAAAAAATGTATGTATCAGGTTATTACAATTTAAAAAAAATAAAAAAACTAAACAAATTTTAAACGCGTTCATTTCTTTCTCAAATTTAATTGAATATTGCTTTTAAATTTACAAAAATTCAAATTTATTGAGTTAAAAATTAAATCGTAGAAAATATACTCAAATCGGAACTTAAGTTATATATTTTTTTAATGTCTACCCTAGATAACTGTTCGTTAAAAATATAAAATTATTTATTGAAACAAATATTAAAAACAAAAGTACTAGTGATTTCATTTAAACAATTTATTTTTATCTTATCAATATAACTTAGTAGTTACAAGTGTTAGACTGTAATACAGAACAAAAATAATAAAATATTAATTAAACATAATTCACGAAGTTCACCGACACCTTTCTCATATTTGAAACACAGACTTTGAAAAAAATAACTTTCAGAAAACCGACAACTAAGAATAGCTATAGCTACTATTTATTTTATTATTTTTTTTTTTAACGTGTTTATACTACAATTATACAAAACAATGCGTACAATGTTAGAAAGTTTTTCAGAAATTAAACCGACAGAATAAGTTTAAAATTATAAACAAAAGTAACTTTTAAACTTGGTGCTAACTTACAAACTAGTCTGTGTCCAGTTTTGGTGACCAGTGTGTGCAGTTCACGACTGTACGCAAATTTGAGCTCAAAATCGGCCACCGCCGGTACTCGAATTATTTATTCCCGCTCGTTTTCACACGTGACCCGTCGTTCGACGTCGCATCATTCTTTATTTCAACACAAAGCCGAGTTTTCACCGTTATTTCGTTCGCCTTTTGAGTAAAAAATGTTACAATGAACCGTTTTCGGGAAATGCGCGTTTACATTAAATCCGTACTTAAGTACGCCTAATAGGCGTCATCTATTTCGAGGTTCGTATATGTTTTAGCAGTTCAGTTGCAGGTTATTATTATTTTTTTTTTTTGAAGGAAGTGTGAGCAACGCATTGTATACAGGTTTGAGGTTTCAGCTTCGTCGTTCTAAACTATTGACCTATTAATGAATGGACCGAACTTGGAAGAGAAATTGAATCTTTCTTGAACACTCAAAATGAAATAGCGGCAGCACTCTTCTTTAGAATAGAAAATATGATTACGGACCGTCTTCTTAATTCGAGATTATAACATAGTTGAGTGACATGGAGATTAATATAGATAAATAAGTTTTTACTTTATGAAAGGACAAAAAAAAAATACGCTTTTTTCCTTCCATCTGGTATGGCTTTATCTCAGTGTATTGTAATTTGCTAAATATACAGCAGATAGGTCCATTCAGTCCATTTATATGAAGGCCAATGTTTTAAACACCGTAAATCATTTTTAAATAATATTGTATAGAAAACCACAGTCGGATTTTTTTCGCAAAAGAAGTGCAAGTGCAGGTACAAATTATTAAACTCCCGCGAGAGATTAAAAAAATGCCGGCACTCCCGTTTCGTTCGAAAACAATATCATTATTATTATATGTATATTATGTAGTTTGACTTTTTCACTATTATATTCAAATATCGTTAGGAAAACTGAAAAAAAAAAACACGCACTCGGAAAAGCTAGTTCTGAATTTTGCATTAATCGTTCTTTTTCAACAATTCATCCAACGTTCGCACGAAATGTTAATGTGTCAGCTTTATATTAGACAGATCAAAAGTACTGTACTTGCCGTGCGTTACGAAACGGATAATTTTACAACGTATTCGTTCGTTCTTGCAGGTATAATTTTTATTTTTCGCGTTTCATTTTCATTATATAAGACAATAGTCTTTATTGGTTATTCATGTACCTATATAATATGTGCATTTAAAAAAATAAAAAAATAAATATATTATTAAAAAATATATTGATTATATTTACATATGTTCAGAAATTTAACAGTATTGAAGAAACAGAGGACCCACGATTTTTCGTTACTTTGATATTTTTTTTTCACTGCGGGGAAAGAGGAAAGTAGAGTATTTATTTTAGAAGTGAAACCCACCATTTCGTATTTCGTGTAAATCAATTAAAATTCCAGTGGGCTTTTTCCGCAGAGAGACGCGACTGTTTATTTTAGGTTGGACCGTTTAAAGGTTTATCAAAGCTCTGCGATTAAAATCGGAGGATCGCAAACAAGCAAACAAATGACAGTCACTGACTAAACGAACATATTTATAAAACTAAAATTTTAATTTTCAAAAATAATTATTACCGTTACCTTCAACGTCGTCGGTTATCTATTATTTCTGGACTCCGGAATAATGTAGTTTCATTAACTATTAAAAAAAAAAATAATAATAAAAATGAAGTGAATACGCACAAAAAATCACAAAATACTTTTAGAATACGTGCTCTTTTTTCTTTTACCATTTTAGGTTACAAAAAAATAAAAATTAGTTAATAGGTATACGTTAAGAAATATGTTTTTTTTATTGATACGTTTCTTTAATTTCAAACCTACGAAGGAACACTTGGATTATTATCCAGATAACCTGATATTTTAATTATGTAAATTAAACGATAAATTTGATCCAGGCTCGAAGATGTTACACTAATAAATATCCATATTCGGTAACAGAATTAGGACTCTCCCGGGAAAGATAGTAAACTATCATGATATGATAACGAGTCATAAATAAGAACTGCCGATTACATATTGTCGTTACATATCATATAATTTATATAATTTATAAATTTTATAGTGTGATTAACATGACGCAAGACACTTATTATCTCGGAAAGTGTTTTTTTTTTAATTTTATTAGGGAATTTAAGAAACAATTTTCGTTTATACGTAATTTTATTTATACATATAATAATAATAATGATATAATAAAACATGTTACATTTTTGTTTTTTTTTTTTTTGGGGGGGGGGGGGTGTTCAATTTTATCCAAAATAGCAACTTGTAATAAAAATTCCATAAATTGATAAAATAGATTTAATTTTAGTTTAGATACATTTTGTTGCTTTAACTTTGTAATCCATCAGGCCACAGATGAGACCCGTTTGCAATCGAAAATATACTATTTGGTACATTCGAAAATAGAAGTAAGATTTCTGTTGGAAACGCTGTTCATAAACATAAAACATGAGTGCACAATATAAATATAGTAAAAGCAATATATTTGTAGTACGTCAAAAATCTAAACGAAATTAAGTACGATTAAAAAAAATGGAATTTGTGGATATACTTCGCATGATGAGTGAGTCAATGTTGTAGGTGAAAAGTTGGAACGGAAGAATATAGAGAGGAAGTTGATGTTTATTTGAACTCAACGATTAATCTTTGAATATGATTATGGGTGGAGTTCTGTTATACATGTTATAAAAGGCCGTAATATTTATGATTTAAAAATAGAATATTTCGTACATTTTCTCGTTATTCTTACGTTTATTTTTCCGATTTTCCTCATCTTTGACCTCCTTAAAATACCATCCCAGTCAGATTTTCTTTCAGAAAAATTGCTATAATTGAAAATCGGAGATAAATTGCTGGTAGAATAGTTTTTTTTACAGGAAAAAAAGTTAACACCATTGTAAAACCAATACATTTCTCGCACCTTTCAGAATCTAAACAAATTGCATGCATATAATGAGTATTGAAGTATTAATCTGTTAATATCGACCAAAATTTACATTCACGCGATACTGCGTATATTGGTTACATGCAATTACGCCTAAGTGTAGTCAGACAAACAACTATGTATACAGCATTACAGCACCATGTACATTACTATGCCTTTATAGAAAAAAAAAAAAAAAAATGCTCAACGTTTTAACGGAATTATTCTGTATAATATTAACGAAATAAAAGTCGGGATAACGCGTAGTAATAAAAATTCAAAAATATGCCAGTACTCGCCGATCTGCGGTATATTAGTTTTAGAACAGCAGCAATATATAATTTATTAAAAACCACGTATAAATTATAATGAAATAACATATTGTTATAGCATAACGCTGAAAAAAAAAAAATGAATGATAATAAAAACAAAACAAAAAAAAAAAAAAACCAACGATCTCTATAACAATATAAGAAATTACTATTTTAAAAAATATTATTGTTATACACTTAAACACGGCGTATCGGTTATGCAATATTAATGCATTCGTGCACTCGAAGATTATACGCGAGTATTTCCCCACCCACACGCGTTTCGTATAATACATACTCGTTTAATAATAATATTATGGTATTTGTATAATAATAATATAATACGAGATTATATTATTATACGCGGTTGGGCACAACAATAATAATATTATGTCAAAAAAAGTAATATTTTATGGTCAAGTGTCACGAACCATATAATAATATTGTACGCGCGCACATAAATGTCACATTTCCATGTTTAGGTACTTACGGAATATTGAGATTTTAAAAAAAAAAAAAAAAAAAAATTCACTCGTAATATGGCGACGTATGTACAGCGAATTTGTGTTTCGAAATATCTAGACACACGTACGAGATGATAGGTTGAACAATTATCTAAATGGAGATGCAACATACAATTTTTATTATGAAAAATATCAAAGGTGTATTAAATTTGCACACGTCTAGATTTTGAAAAATGTGCGTGATTGATATAACTTAATAACTAATATATTCAATCATAAGAATATAAATTTGATATTTTATCCGCTAAATTAGAATATTAATTACGATTATGAAAATATATTTATCTCAGGTATTTTATTTCCCCTAGTCTAGATAATTTAAAAGATTACATGCCACCTAACTAGATGACACACAATACTCGCACGGAATATTATTTTGTTGTAGGTAAGCATCGGCTACGAGGAAACATACTTTTAAAATAGTGTTTGAATATTAAATACAAACAAATCACCGATGGTTTTTAATCAGTAAATAGACAAGATACAAATATCCAGTTGTGCGTGTTGTAGACCTATTATTACGCGTGTGACGGAACGTTACACAAACATAAATATTCACGATCTCGAAAATACCGATAACACAATGTTTAACTATTGGTTTAATATTTACTAACCGAGACAATATATCTACTATGCTGACACCTTATTTATGTTTCAACGATAATCATTACCATTAAGGGGTTTTTAAATTTGATTATGTTTAGTGAAATGTAAAAAATTATTTTAGATTTCGAGTGAAGCAAAGAAGCTTATGGTCTTACAAAGATGTTTATTATTTTTTTATTTCTTTTTGTGCGCAACATTTTTCCAGGAGACTTGCTCTTTTTAAGTGTGAAAACTTTTCTAAGTCTGACAGGGTAAGTACTTTAGGGAGATAATTTTTCGATTTTCTCAGGAGTTCTCTCATCAAATTTAAAAAACCGACAAAATCGGAGGAAAAACGGGAAAATATAAGAAATGTAGGTATTAGTTAAAATACATTACAGCCTTCTTTTTTCCCGTGGACAACGTTTCTATAAGAAATTTTTCTAGTTTTTTGTAATATTTAAAACACTGTTTAACCCTGATTGGTATGTATCGGTTTTAGTAAGAATCTAAAATGCAGTAGGGTTTTTATTTTATTTAAAACGCGAAAGAAAATTCACAGTAAAAATTACGGCATTTCAAAACTTGTGTAACCGATCGTCACTCAGAATAATTTTTCGTTAGAAATGATTTGTCGATAATTACAGATAAAAATTAAATATATATTTAATATATATTGTATCTATATTGTATCCTACTTTTTCATTTTCCCATCTATAACGGTGGTATACTATTATTAACAATATCAGGGGGAAATAAGATCTTTTTATTTTTCGATATTATTATTCAGAAGCAAAATTACGAGTATGTTTTTAATCTAATGAAATAAGTTTGAAGTAAGCACAGACTTGTTAATTTATACTTGCTCTGCGCGGTCTGCTATGAAATCAGCTTATGTAATTAGTAGTAAAACAAAATGTTTTCAAATGCATAATATTCGTGTTTCCGTAAAGCTTGGCGTCTTTTTTCATCTCTCTCTCTCTCTCTGTCTTCGGGCTTTGTACCGTAAATATACCTATTTCATCTCGTATACGGTCAGGGGAAGAAAAAAAGGAACACGGTCGAGTAGTTATTCTAATTATATACCATACCGGTACCACGTTCTATATAAGGGTGTGTTAGTTTAGTGACAAAAAAAATCGAAAAAAAAAACAAGAAAATAAAAACCTGAAAAAATAAAGGACGAAATTCCACAAAAACGCGCACGACCGGCTGTAGGGGTGACATTTTATTTTTCCACGTAATATACAATCTAAAGACTCTAAATATCTACCTCTTTCGACCATCAATCAAAGTCCGCTTGCAATGATTAGCCGAGTCTAGTTGTTAAGTATTTAAAAATAGTTGCTTAACAACCGATAAAATATAAATATAGTATTTGAAAATATGTGATTGTATAAACATAACTCATGCATAAAAAAAAGTGCTCGTATTACGGTTTTTATCATTGAAACAATACACGTACCCGTAGATATTGAGTCTAAAATCTGGTTTTTAAAATACAGTTTACAGAGCAACAAATGCTTTTAGTTTTCTGATAAAGTTATCGTAACGGAAATTAAATCTCAAACTAACTACCATTATGTTTGTGAGTTTTTCAAATGTTTAAAAATTTAATTTGTTTCGTCGTAGAAAAATGTCTCCTCAATATAATATATAAAGTAAAAATTAATTTTACATATTTTGATTATACTCCGTGATATGTGTTTCTTAATTTGAATTTGCTTATTAAACAATAAACACTCGCGGTAATGTAAAGAGGAAGGGGGGGGGGTAACTCTCACATTGATTTGAAAGATAACTTTGGATATTTGTGAATGATACAATTTGTACTTTTTGTTTTTTTAAAAAAAAAATCTGTTAAAATTACAAATTGTAATTTTTTGAATATTAGACGCCCTTTTCAGATTATTTTATTCCCACGCGTTTGTTTTATCAGTCTAACATACGTACAACCTAGCAAATTCCCATTCGGTTGGATCGATTGTGTGTTATATCAGTTTTAGTTTTAAGTTAATAGATCTGTATCATACTTAAAAATAAGAATATTGTCTGTGTTTTTATGTTTTTTTGTTATTAAATTTTAATTTTAATGTGTAATATACGATTGTGTGAAATATCACAATTTAAAAATGATTATTATATCCCTTAAAAGTTAAAATATTATAAATGACATTATGTACCTACGTACATAGACAGTATTTATGTTTGATAATAAATCGATGAAAAATTAAGCACAAGCTTAGTTCTACTGAACCTTAATTTGGTATATGGCATGCGTTTACAAGACGAATATCATAAAAGAACGTATACAGTAATTAAAATGGGAAAACTTCGAAAGGGATCTTTATTTACTAAAAGTTGAGAATATTCCAGACGCTAACTGAACCTGACAAAACTTTCAGGTTTTTTAGTCGTTCATCTTGGAGGAATGACTGTTTAAATATTTTTGTCTCGTACTCATCAGTTCATACAAAATATTATACTAATGTGTATACGACAAGCTGAACCGCATTCCAAAAAGTCAAAAAATATAATCCTACGCAGATGCCTGCTCGGTAAAAATAAGATAAAAAAAAATTCGATTATGATTAATTTAATAAGTTGGTATTAAAGAGTTTTTTTTTTTAAATTAAACTGATTCGAGATTTAAAACGTATCATTAAACATACCTCATCGACAACTACTGAAATGCCACTTTCCCGGATTTTGGGGTCTTAAAATTAAATGGACGGATAATTTTACCATAAATAAGATTCCTTATTTAAGTAGTGTTATTTTTTCTATTAATTATCGTCTTCATCAAAGGAATGTTTTCTACTCGTTATAAACGTTAGTGACACGGACGTGATTATTTTTACATAGGCGGGTAGGTGGCTCGTCTTTCTAGGCGGGTATTAAAAACTTATTAGGAAACGTAAGTACTTGAATTAAAATCAGTTGGCTTAATTGATTTTGTAAAAAGCGAAGTGTTAAATGCTAATGTACTAGTGTACAACACTAATGTATATTATCTATAAACCTTATTGTTGTACTTTATTTTCTTTTTATAGAAGAGGTAGGCGTTGGTTCTTATAACAGTACTTGAGCGGATGGGAGGGTCAAATGATTTTGACACACTCTCTTATGACGTAAGTTCACGCTACCGTTGCCTCCCTCCCTTCCCTTTATTTAACCACGTATAGCGTTCGTGTAGCGTCATTTTAATACTGGCGTAGGTTCGAAACTAATTTCGAATTAATTTCAAACAATAAGAACGTGCAATTATTTAATAACCTCGATAAATTTTAAGCCGTGGCGGTTTTCAGTTTTAGTCGGTTAAAACAACTCAGCAATAATATCATTAAACATGACGGGTGTAATAATCCGTTGTTGCGTTTAACGTCATTGCGGTATGTTTATCGACCACAAAAACACAATGTCGTCGTAAAATAATTGCGATTTATCGGAAACGGCGAGTACGTATTGTACAGAATTATTATTGACACGGCAGGCGAAAACGGCAATTTCATGTCCGCACGTGTGGTTTATAGCAGCATTTCGGGGGCGTTTGAGCGTTACACATTGTTAAACGCAAATAATATTATAAAAGACACCGCGTCGTTGTTGTCGTGGAATATTATCCGCTTTGTCTGCGATTTTTTCTCTTGTTTTTTTTTTTTTTTTTTTAATATAATATCTTTATAATATATATATTCTAACAGGTTACATTTAGAACGCGCACGTGCAGCGCTATTGAATCCATTGAAATATAAAACACGAAACTACGTCGTCGCGGACTGTCCGATATCCGAGGGATTCGAACGATGCACGTGGCGGAAAGCGAACATGTACAATAATATACTTAGGTATTGTGAAAACGTTTTTTCCGGAGTTCGGTTTTTTTTGTTCACATTAAATGTTATTATACTCACTTGTGCAAGACAATGCTGTTCGACGTCGGACATTTCATTTATCGAATTTAATTCAAAATGTGTTACTCTCTATTGCTAGAATAGCTGTCCTGTACGACTTTGCGGGTGGACAGCGCGTGAAAACCTGAAGTGCATATGTATATAATATACAAATCTGGATTGTGCAATGCAATTCTTAAATTCGGGATTTCATGGATGTCGAAATATGATCTTATAAATTTCGAATGTAAAATGTTTGAACAAGTATGTACAAACCACGTTTGTGTAATCATCAATTGCTTTAAAATAAAAATGATTGTGATTTCGTTGCAATTCAATAGTTTCACTTTCCAGATATGTACGTACCAGATTTTACATTCTAGGTTTGTAAGAATTCTGATCAACTAATAATAACTGATGTTAATAATTATCGTTCGTGAAAATATCGTAACCTGTAAACCAACAAAATATATTCAATTTTCCACAAATACTAAAACCATGTGCTAATAAATCTTTAAAGTTTAGTGGTCGAATTTTGGAAATATAACTTTGATATGCACGCAAATTAGTTCAATTGCCTGTTCATCGTATACGTTTCAAGACTTATGTTTACGATTTATGTTCTATAAATCAATAAAAACTGAACATTAAAAAAAAAGTTGCATTTCCAAATACAGGACCCAACAGTAAAATTAATTAATTTTAGGTGCGGTCGAGAGCGCGTAAGATACTGGTGAGGACGAAAATCATATTATGACGATATTTTAGCTTTTGACTTTTTTTTGCAATGTCTAGTTAATTACTTCGAAAATGTCAGTTTCCAGTTTACTTGAGGTTGGAGCCGGATCGACGACTAAAAATAGAGACGAGAAAGCCAAAACAGTTCAAACTCTTAAAAACTTTTAAATCTATTATAAAATATTGTGAAAGTCGAGCATACAAATGATGGTTGTTGAGGATTTAGGTTAAAAGTTGAAGCACATCTTTGAATGTGAATCGTAAACGACATTTCATCTCTCTGGTTTTGATCAGAAGGTTTGCAGAGACGTTAAAAGCTAAAAAAAAAACTTCCGCTGCTACAAAAGAATGATTAAATTCAACTTAACTTTTGTTACTGAAATCCGTCTATCAAACGACTATCACTCTTTCTATAAACCAAGTTTAATTTTTGAGTTTTAGAGCATCATTTGGTCTAGAGAGAGTCGCTAAAAGTGTCCAAAAGTTGTGGTAAAAATGTAAGGCACAATGCTAAAAAATTTCTATTTTCGAAAAATTTGACAGCAAATTAATTAAAAAACGTAGGTATTCGAATAATAATAAATTTTCGCATGTTTTAAAAAAAGTTTAAATTACTTGTTATTGTTTCAGACACCGTCACCACAACGGTGTGCGCCATCACGGCCTACACGTGTATAGTTTGGAATTATAATTGGAGATTATTTTAATATGATTCGCATAAAAACGACTTTTTGTACGGTAATTATATTATTAAATTACGAACAATCGTAGCAATTATTGTCCGGCGGGGACTGTTCGCGGTGAATACAATCAGCTACACAAAAAAAAAAAAACACACGGATCCTGGAGTGTAAACATCGTGTATAGGTAGGTATCCATTTTAATTCAATTTGAAATATACCTAGCCACACCGTCACCGCTGCCTTTGGTTTAGGGCTAAAGCATAATATTTCCATAATTTCGTTGTGTTTAATAACAATAATTTAATACTATGCGTTTTTCTTTTAATTCAATTTTCTATGCTCTGTAAGTTTGTACGTCAATACCTAAAGAGTAGTTTCGAGATTTAAATAATAATAATTTAGATCAGATGAATTATTCAACTGTAGCAATAGGCGTTGATGTCGTTTATGGTAAAGGGACATTTTATTTGCACATCATATGCCCCGTGTTTTATCGTTTAAAAACGTTCGTCCGTGCATCGTCGTCAGAAGGAACGCGCCAGTATGCATGAATGCTTAGAATAGTTTTTATTTTCGCAATGAATTATCGTCGGTGATTTGATTTATATACCGTATTCCATAAACCATTGCAACCATAAACCTTTCTTCCCAACATCTCACCTACAACAGGGACCCACCAATCGTGCGAAATATGTCCGTATATTTTTTTTTTATTCTTATTTTTGGGGGTAAAAATACTAATCAATTTTAATTTTCAAAGAACGACCTCTTAAAAAAAAAAAAAAAAAAAATCTATAAATGGTCGAGGATAAACTTTTGGTATTGACATCTTCAATATCCGTTGCGTTACCACGTAAATTAGGCTTTACTACTTTCCCCCTACCAGAACATAAAAATAAAAAATCTCGTCAACGAGTTGACAGAAAGTAAGAATGTCGGTCTCAACATTTATTTGAATTAAAACTTCATCGATTTATGGAAATCTCAACATGAGTTGTTATTTCAAATCAAAAGTGGTTATTATTTTTACTCTAAAACAATGGTAACATTACGATAGCAATTGATACTTTTCGAGATAATGAGTATCTGACGTCTTATGTTGATCCTCTTTTAAAATAAAAATATCGCTTGCATAATGTTCTTTATTTGCAACTATCCAACTACAACAGTAGCATACACTCGATGAAATGTTTTTCGTTTTTTTTTCGTTTAATGTATTGAATATCCAGGAATAAAAGATAATATTACAAAATTGATGTTTTTTTTTTTTTTTTTTAAATTAATGAACGCTGTATTATAATAGTGGTATAAGTAGTGTTCCGTTTTCATAATGTTTACATGGACATTATATAAAATACAATAATGGATTTTCATCGACTGGTCGTAGTACTTTATATTTTAAACTATTATGAAAAAAAAAAAAAAAAAATGGCGATCTAATGGTAACAATAATAACATTTAGTTTGTGTAGCATTTAACCTATTAATACCTTTTAACGTTTGTCCTGCTTGTGGTTTATTATAAATTGTAAACAATTAAAATTATTAACAGTTTTGATTATTATTTAACCACAAATAGTTTCTTCAAACTTTCACATTATTATATATTTTTCTTATTTTCCCGGATTTTCTATTACTCTACTAGAGTTTTTTCCATTATTAAAATTTCTTGCCATTTCTCTTAGCCATAAATTATTCTGTTCAGTTGTTCCAGGTACTTTTCAACTACATCCAGTCATCTTTTTCTAAGCCACCATCGGGGTTTTGTGCTGTTCATTTCCAAGACATTATTGCTTTAACTTTTTTGTTATCTTTTCTATATGCATTTTTTATCCAAGCTATTGTGTCATTTGGCCATTAATGAATATTTCTACTGGATGCATCCCAATTTCCTCCCGTAAGTCATTATTGAACTTTTTTCTGCATATTTCAAGTTTTCTATCCAATTTTGGTCCACATATCATTCACCAAATTGTAATTTGAAAGGTCTTCTTTCTGTGATACTGATCGTTTTCCAACATGCTTCACGCCCGTATACCATTGTGGGTTTTATTGTTATGGTTTATAATCTAGCCTTTTTTGTTTTTGAAAGTATTTTTCCGACGTTTTTAAATTTAATGGTGTATAAGATGCTTTCTTTATTTTCTGTTATTGTTAAAAAAAAAATGTGTGTCCTAAACTTCCCATTGACACTCTCAATTCTTAAATTGATGTTATGTATATATATAAACCATATGAGAATTTGAATTTTAAAGAATATGTATTTGAATTGAAATCTGGTGATTACAGATCTATTGTAAAATATTTAGAATCCATAAACTTGTTAAATCTTTTTAATTCGGATACTAAATAACTATAATATTAACGTTTTTTATTCATAAATTAACCATACGATAAACAATTTTATCTCTTTAATTTGTAAATATAAATCAAAATACCCTAAATAGTTTATTAAAGAATTTGCTTATCAAACAAAATCATAATTCCCATTACATTTTTAAAATATCTATTTTATCTAAAGCTTATTTAACGCTTTCTTATCTTCGTAATAAATGAAAATATATTAGATATCTTGATTAAAATCTTATCTTATAAAAATTCAGAGTAAAACTAATTCTAAAACTTTCTGGGCATTTTGTAAACCTCAAAATTTGTTATTACATCTTCCTACAACCATGTTATACCTTGATAACAAAGTTAATACTGGTAATGAAATCGTTAATTTATTTAAATTACATTTTTAAAATGTCTATAATTCTTACTTGTTAAAAAAACATTTAAATATCGATTATGTAAATAATTCTTTACCGTCACTTAATATTACAAATATATATTTAATAGATGTCTAATGAATTATGGTCTATTAATTTAAATTTATTCACAGACCCTGATGGAGTTTCAGCTGTATTTTAAAAAAAATGTTATTTTGCTTTATCCCCTGCCATTGCATATTTATATAACTCCTCTTTAAATTCCAGTATATTTCCGGATTTATGGAAAGTTTCTTGCATAACTTCAATATTTAAAAAAAGTAATAGGTCTATTGTCTCCAATTATCGACCTATATCTATAATCTCTATTCTCCTAAATTTATTTTCGAAATTAGTTACAAAAACCATATCACTCCTTTTCGAACGTATTATCTGTAGTGAACAACATGGATTATGAAAGGGCCAATCAATAATTACTAATTTATGTATTTTTAAACAATCAATAATTGATGCTTTTAGTGATAAGACATAATATGATGTAATATACACGGATTTTGAAAACAAATTTGATAAAGTAAACCACTCTATTTTAGTTTACAAACTTATATCATATGGAATTAATGATCTATTTTTATCGTGGCTAATTTTTTTTTAAATTAATCCTATCCAAATTGTAAAATATAAGAATTAATGATCTTATTCTCTAAATGTAATATCAGGTGTTCCATAAGGTTACCACCATTATTCTATATCTTTATTAATGTTATTAATAAAAACATTGGGAACTGTTTGCTATTAGTAGATGATACTAAAGTGTATAAAACAAATTAAATGTTTAAATGATGCTAAACAACTACAAGAAGATTTAGATCATTTATTTATGTGGTGTAATGACAATGGTAGGATATTAAATATTGATAAATGTGCAACTGTTTCATTTTATTAAAGAAAAGACCTATTAATTTTTTACTACTGCTTTGATAACTTATATATTTGTCCTGTAAAAATATTATTAACGACCTAGGAGTTAACTTTGATTCTAAACTTTCATTTAAAAATCATGTTGATCAGTTAATTAACAAATCACTTATGAAATTAGGATTTATAAAACGTACGTGTATAGATTTTAATGATGCTTCGGCTTTAAACAATTTATATTATTCTCTTGTTCGTTCTAAATTTGAACATAAAAACTTAATGTGACACACAAGTAGTATTCTACAAAATCAGTGTTTAACATTTATACAAAACCATTTTTTAAGATATTTATGCTATAAATGTGGTATTCAAAGAACTCCTTATTCAGGATATGATGATTAACACTGTCATTTTAAAATAATATCACTAAACAATAGGTTTCGACCACTAGATTTCAATTTTTTATTTAAATAACTTCTATTTAAAATACTATTTACTAATTACTATTTAAATTAATTGTCCGGAACTTGTTGAACGTTTAAACTTTAAAATTAATTCTTTTAATTCCAGAAATGAACCTGTTTTTTTTTTTTTTTTTTTTTAATGCTACTAATACATACAAAATGTACTCTCAAGCTAATAAACTAATATCAGCTGTTAATTCTCTATGTAATATTGACTTATTTCATACATCAATCACCGAATTGAGCATCATTGAATATTTTATATTACTTAAAAAAAAAATAAAATGTTTTTACTTTATTTGTAATCTATATTTATTTATTATGTAAATTTCCTGTCTTTTATTTATTAGTATTATTTTTTTTTGTTATTGTAATTTAATTATTAATCTTATTATATTAGTTTAAGCTAAATCCTTAAATTATTAAACTTGTTCATTTAAATTTTAAATTTAATTTAGTGTATAAAAAAAGTACTGTCATATTATAAATAATTGTAATTTGGAATATTTTTCCATATTAAAGAATATTATTATTATTTAATTTTACTAGACCGCGTCGTTTATTGTATGCATAACTTTAAAAATCCAAATTTAAACCTCTTTTAGTAGAGGAAGTTTTTTTCTTTTCAACAAAAACTTTTAAAAATAACCTATCAAAATAGCATTGGCTCTATGAAGTATAAGGAAATCTCGTTTTCTTGAGTAAAAAAAAAAATAGTTCGCGCACAGACGTGATATACGAATATAACGGCGTTTTAACTCTAAAATTGTTTTTAAAGGTTTTTCCTTTTTTTTTTTTTTTTTCTTATATAATAATATAATCGCAGGCATCACGTTTTTCGTATCATTATATATCTTAATACTTTTTGACAAATGAACCGTTCGACTCGATATCCGTGTGGTTGTTACGCGTGCAGGTATAAAAATACATAGGCTTGGGAAAGTGTGTTATTTAAAGAAGAAGTTCCATATCTGCAGCCGTATTTTGGCGGGCACGATGTTGCCATAAAATTGGCAACGATTTATCGGACATTATCGCCGAACTTTGCTAACGGTGGGGTTGGGCGGAACCCTCTGAAACATTTTACGACTATACGTGATGTGCAAGCGCACATAATATTTTTGGTTTTATTCGTGTAGTTAAAATTTTAAAACACTATAAATATAAATATAAATAATGTGTAAATCATAATAATATACACCATATACACTATATATGCGAAAATATTCCTATGTACATGTATACTTAAAGCAGGAGATCAACATTCCTGAAAAAAAAAAATCGTAGGAAAAAAACAGGGGGTTTTATGAAATAATGAGGAAATTTTGGTAAAAGAAGAACAAGAAGGAAAAACTAATTTGTTCAATAATTATGTTTCCATATTTTTTTTTCAAAACATAGTAAAAAGTTGTAGAATTCCTAGGAATTATAAAATCATTACTATAAAGAGATAAAGGGCACACCTTGACAATGATTTTTATCAAATGTATTTTATTTTTTATTCATCAAAAAACAAAAAAAAAAAAAATCGTTTCCCCCAAACTTTCGAATTATCAGTCATATTGATCCTTACTTTTAATTAGTTGTCTTCTATTTGGGTCTCTTTTTTAAATTACCTAATTTAAGCCCGGTGCACACGATGGTTGTTTTACTACTGGATGGCTTGCTGGTGATAGAAACGACGATAGTTCATTATCCCTTGAGTGATTGGATTGGTATTATACGTTAATTGTCGCCAGGCTAAATGTGTAGCTTATTCAACTATATATCAGTTTGGGTCGAAGAAAATAATTTGTGTTCCGAAATAATTATAATTATATTAATCATATTAATCATATTAATATGATTATTCAAGATTTAGTTAAATCAATTGTATTATTTTAGTCAAAAGAAAAATAGACGTGATTGTATATGCGTAGTTTACTTAGTTATCAGTATCACACATAATATCACTATGCCGGTTTGCGTCCATGTGACGAGATGCCATTATCTTATCGGCCCGTGTCTAAATCCAACAGTAAAGAACAAAGCGGGAAAAACAGCACATGTTTTATCACGAAATGCAGCACGCGATCACGTAGCGGAGCCATGATGAGCCATTGTGATACCATCACAGCTCCCAGCAGGCCATCTACAGCAGAACAAGCGTCGTGTGTGACTGGTCTTATTGTAAAACGGGAGAATTTTTATTATTAAAAAGGAAAAAAAATGTATATACATATAAAAAATTTTTATGATAAATCATAGTTACCTCCTCTTCACTATTATTGGAGATAAGAATTTTTGATTTTACACAAAGGACATAGCGAAGACGAATTTTTAAACAATTTTAATTTCTATATAGATGTAGATATGAGGTACGACAACTGAATTTTTGCTTTTGTGAAAATATGAATACGGAACAGCATCCCCAATTAAACAAATGTGCTGGTTGCGCCTCTGCTCGGTGGACGATGAAACGAGAAATTAATGAAAATATAACGATCTCCGTACGATGAAAAATACAGTAAATGTGCAGGCTGTGAAAGAGAGTTATTGATGCCAACAGAAATGAATTTTATTTTTATTTTCGTAAACAGAGTAATATTAATTTCGAACGTAATACGCACGCGAGTTGACCAATAGAAAACGAGCGCCGCGTTGAATAATAAAATTGTGATTAATGGGTATATATGTATATGCATTAACACAATAAATTATATTATTATTATTATTCTGTCGGAATCTTTTAATTCTTGCTTGTCGGACGTATAGGTATACGGCCAATATTCACAAATCACGCCAATTTAGAAGAGTCTACCTATTTTTAAAAGATTAAATCGACGACGTCGGCGCGTCTGACAATGATGAATGGAATAAAGTGATTTTTTTTTTTTTATACTCCGTCGACATTCATTAAAATAATTACCTTTATTTTCGTGTATCTGAGTAGATAGGTATATACGTAAGACTTCGCTTTAAATCGGATCTATTGAAACCATGCCGTCCATCTCTTTTATAAACCGGACAATACCTACTGAAATTATGTTATTATTCTTTTTTTTTCGATTTACATTTTAGAGGTTTATTAAATCAATTAAAAACAGTTTTATTTTTTCTGATTAGATCACGTAATACAACTTGACGTCTATTTTTAACGACTTACATATTTAAATACATGAACATACAGGGAAATCGGTATTGGTAAAGTTATCGGTTAATTGATAAGTCCAGCGTAATAACTAACTGTTGCCAACAATTCATCCACTCAAAATATAATACTACTATAGAATAAACCAATCAGAATAGACACAGGCAGCCTAGAAGGAAATCAGTCACCATTGACCTCGTAAGAACATTATATGAGCTACTCATATATTTCATTTTTACAATTTGTGACAAAACACAATGGTACTATCGTGCATACTTTATTTGTAGTAGTTATTACAGAATAAAACGAAAGTGGCGTTATTTCAGTTTTTGATAAGAGGAAAAGTTTTGACTTGCTATGGAAAAATAACTGCAAACATATCACAAATGGAACCTTTTAGCTTTATTTCAATACGATTAACATCTTAACTAAATATCTTTTTTATCATCCTTGAAAATTTATCCTCTGCTTTATCTAAATATATTTTTGATTTAATATCACGGCCAATAATAAGATTAAGCATCTTTTATTGATTTAAAAAAAAGGTAAAAAGAATCGTTCATTGGAAGCAGTAGTAATAGGCAAAGTAAAGTCAAGAGAATATTTTTCAATTTTAAGAGTTTCAAGGAAGTTGATTTAAAATTTTGGAAACATAAACAAGAATTCCATCATCTCGTTCTTTGTTTGGATAATTTATTAAGTTTTTTGTAGATGAGAGTTCACATTGAAGCATTAAATTATTAATTTTAAAATGACTGTAATGATTAATGAAGGCTACTAAATAGGAACTTTTGAAATTCAAATAATCAGGACTTGAAGGTAAAAAAAATGTTATAAGTATAAATAATTGTATTAATGTAATTGATGAAACGATAGTTTAGCTTGTTTAAAAATAAAAAAAAATTATAAAAAATTGCTATTCACTAATTAATGTAGAAAAAATATGTATTGGAAAAAACCCCTGTTGTAGGTGAAAAGTTGGGAAGGTAGGATACATTTATATCTGTAAGCAACGATAAACCATTGCTTGACGAAAGACAATACCGAGCGCAGTTCGGTAATAGATAATTTGAAGTGCCGTAATTTTTGTTGCAATTTTCGTTTAAATTTGATTTCAAAACGCATATTAAAAAAAAAAGTCGTCCGATGATTTTGGAAATTTTATTACGTCTAGGTAAGTCCAATATAAGTATTATAACCAAGTTTAAAATCTCTACGTGTATTTATAAAATAATGAAATTGTGAAATTGTACGTTTTCCTACGTTTTTTCCTACTTAAGTGCTATTATTATAAATTTATTTTATTTTATCAAAAAATCTAAAAAAAACAATCTAGAAAACTTGAGCTTTCAGAAAAGTTGCTACACGTAAACATCGGAGCAATTTTACCAGGAAAAAACGTCTCCATAGACTAGAAAAAAAAAAGAAATATACATTTTAGTAAAACCAAACTCCCTTGCTACGCTTGGAATCTAAAAGACGTCCTAGGATAATTGAAACGGGTTCACCCACTGTTATAAATAATTTAATATAAACCTGTAAGTAATGATAAACAATTGCTAACGAAAAAACGATTCTGAGCGGAGTTTAATTGATAGTGTTGCATTGTCAACAACATATGTCATATTATGGTAAAATAATTACCTACATTAATGTGCGTTTCCATGACAATAATGGTTGTTTAGAAAAGATTAAAATAATAAAAACTTAATAATAACAAAAATTTAATAAATGGTTGCCTAACCTTATTTTTAATCTTTCAATCTTTTTTTACCTAAATACCGTGGTTGTCCTCATTATTTCGAATATTAATGATAGTTTCAAAAAATTACCGCTCTAAAATACCACCTAGAAACATTTGTTATTAGAAAAAGTGCTGTACTTGATATTCGGAGTATGCTTTCTGGTAGTAAAAAAAAAAAAAATAAACACCATTGTAAAAACAATACATTCCTCGTTCTGCTCTGAATCTCAAAAATAAATAAATAGGTATGTATATTTTTAAAATAGTAAAAAATATAATATTATAGTATAGACAAAGTATAGGTATTTGAATTCATTCTCTTACTTGTTGATTGTAATTTAAAATAAAATTGTAAACTATTTGATTTCGATTTATTATCCATAACTCGATTGTAGTTAGTTTCATATCTTATTAGTTGCCCTATTGTGGACAAATCGACAAAATAAAATAATTTCGAATATTTCTGTTTCAACACATCGGTTTTTGATTTTGTAGAACTATTTTCAATAAACATTTCATTTTTTTCAGTAACTAATTTTGCGCTACTATTGGTTTTTTCCCCCAGAATGCATTGTTGCGTATTTTATCAATACCTTTTTGCTTTATATTTTATATAAAATTAGCCACTAAATATGATGTAATACTATCTCCTAAAATTTCAATTTACGCACATTGGACCGTTTGTAATTTAATCTCAATAGCTTGAGAAATTAGCCATTTCATCTAAAACCATGCTTTATAACATTCGCACATTTTGGTTGGACAGATATAAAAATAAACACACACACACACACACATATACACTAGATCATATAATACACGAGCACACTGTGTCTTTTTATACCGACCGTTAAATATTATTGTGAAAATAATTTCTCAGTGTGCCAGTACACAATATTGTGTCGCAAAAACCTTTAAAAATTGACATAATTTTTCAGCAATAACTGCTTACGACTGAACAGTATTCCACCGTTATATCGCTTTTTCAACCAGCCTTTTCACATTCCCACCCTACCCTCCCCTCCTTAAATTACACCATTGGATAACGCTACTACCAAATAAATGGTGATGACATCACAAAATGCCGTAGGCCTGATAACGCTGTAATTTCGTATAATATTGTTCTTGTGCGTTATCGCCCAACTACGATGTTATTATACTTCAACATCTAACCAACGTAGCATTTTCCTTATCCTGCGTATTTATTTCTAAACTACATGGTCTTTCAATGACTAGAGGTTTTCACTAAGTAGATTGACTCAAATGATATTAGAAGAGTAATTTTTTTTATGATGTTATTCATTTTTGTAAGCCACCACTGTGGCTGCAAAATGTCATTTTTCTAAAAACTGAGTAGATGTAGATTAGTATATTCACGTGAGAATAGTTATAATATAGTTTTCCCATAAGAGCATTATTCAACAAAGTTAAAAATTAAAAAATATATCACCTGTATACTTTTAATGTATTTTTTTTTTATAAAAATCAAACGTATTGGAACTACGTAACCTGGAATTAGAGAATTATTAGTTTCTCTTAATTCACCAAAAGCTATTCACACCACCACTCGAATAATCTTTAACAACTGCTACACATGATGTTCGGTTTGGGCATTACAGTATAAGCAACCCATGCCGAAAAAAATAATATTTTGAAAACCGCTTATGAAACATCCTATTTGTGTGGATCCGAATTTCTTTCGAAATACCCGAATTTCGCATTTGTATACGAGCTAAAAATCGATCGCCTAGCATAGGTATACGATTGCAGCTTTCGTGTGTGTAACGGAACCACCGTCGTTTTGGTGTGTTTGCACGGTAATTTACATTTTTATTGGCTCGAGCCCGTTGCAGGACGGACTGATTGATACTCCCGCGCCTTCAGCCGACTCGCCGAAATCAATTTTCCCGAAATCCCGGTCCGTTATCTCTTCTGGCTCACGTGTTCCCTTTTATTATATCTGCCCGTGTACACACTTCGCTAACTACCGGAATAATCAGCTTTTCTGCCGGTATGACGCGTGCAGATTACACCCGTAAAACCGAAGGCTACCTTCCTCATCTTTTGTTAAGGTCTTTCGAGAGATCCCCGGTTCAATACTATTATATACGTATGTTATATTATGGACACCGTCTGTTGATTTTCTAATATTATTTGATTTGTAGATATCTTCATTTGTGTGTTGATGTCGTGTTAAAATCCGCGAAAATACTGTTCGTAATATTCTACGAAAGTGCGGTCAATCGTGATAATACGTAATTATAATAATACACGCAACTTAACGTCGAGCAAAGGTGACTTAACAGACAATATTAACGAAGTGAAGTTAATTCGAATGAGGCAAATTTTACGAGATAAACGTTAATTTGTTTTTTTTTTTATATTAACATAATTGTTATTCAGTTAAAAATAATTATATAATATATCCTTAGCTGTTCACAAGACGATAGTTTTCGCAACTGTCACGTTTTTTATATCTGAACATATATCGGGGATTAGGTAAATTTTATGTAATTTTGATGCAAGATAATAGAAACATTACAAAATAAATTGTTGTTTTTTCTCCGTTACACGGAAAAGCGTACAGTCATGGATATGTTTTATGTTTATTATGATACTGTCGTTGCTACTGTTGTCACCTTTCTTTGCTTCACAATTTAAGTGTTTTGCAAATTTTCGGCTGACTCCGAGCCCAAAATCATAACCATGTTCACTATAAAAGAAATAAGTATACACGAATACATGACATAATGATCAAAGATACATAAAACATACTAGATACTTTCAGTTTTATAATATTCAACTTCGAATTTTTTCTAATTGAAACTTACGAATTTTAGATTTGGAGCGAAGCGATGTTTTTTTCTGTTTTTTTTTTTTTTTATGTGAACACCAGAAAGCTTCCTCCGATTATTAAGTATAGCACCTATTCTGAAAATAAATGTTCTCTCGGTGGCACTTTAGAGACGTCATTTTTTGTTTTGTTTAAGTTTTTTTATTTTAATCTTCTTTAAACAATCATTATTGCCATGAAAACGAAAACTGTTGTAATCATTTTATCATAATATGACATACATATATATTGTTGACAAAGCAACACTATCAACTGAACTCCGCTCAGAATCGTTTTTTCACTAGCCATGGTTTATTGTTGCTTACGATATACAATAAATTCCGGTCTGTATCCTATCTTCCCAACTACCCACCTACTACAGTGGCTGCATCCACGTGCGAAGTATGTTCCTCTTTTTGTAAGATTAAAAGTACGAAATATAATAATAATTAATTAATACGATATAATATATTACATAAAAGCTGTGATCCACTCGTCTGTAGCGCTTTGTTGATTAACCACGGTAACCAAATATATAATCCACTATAACCCGTCATGTATGACGGTTATACTACTCTAGTAATAAATAAAGATAAACGTTTCGACGTATTAAACATCATTCATCAATATAAATAACGTCTGTTTGTTTATTAAATGTAATTTAAATGTTATTTATACTGATATAAATTCTTTAAAATAAAAAAAAATCTGAACTTTCAAATATTTTGTACGCAAATAACAATGTCGGTTTTTATATTGTTTTTACATTTTTACCATACCAACTTAATCAATCAAGTATCCTATTTGAGCATAAAACAGGATTGAGTAGGTTTAATGTCTACAAAACGCGAGATAAACTAAAAAAAAGCTAAAAGATATAATTGACCGATCCTGACTAAAACACCATCGTGTGGACGAGCCTAGAATATTATTGTGAAACAATAACGCGATCGGTTCCAGCAGGCCGATGTTAAACATGCCTCCCGAATAGTATTCTCCGGGCGGTGGTTTCTATACGATGACGAATACCGTCATATCGATTGTTCCCGGGAATTCGTATTTAATAAAAAAAATCGCTCGCGTATGGTACGACGACGACGAAAAAAAAAACCGAACCAACAACAACAACAACAACAACAACAACACGATAATGAATTAAAATATTATTCTAGTATATCGCAGTCCCGAGATCGTATAATAATATTCGTATACCCGTTCTCTCGCCGCGTGTATGTACGATTTGTCAACGTCTCGTACACAATGTCTGTGGTATGTAAAAAAAAAAAAAAAAAAATAAATATTTTACGCAGGGTAAAAAATGTACCCGGGTATAACTCGGTACGAAGCGACTACCGACCGCCAACGACTGTTTTTTTTTTTTTTACTTCACTTTAATACACACATAGGTAAAAATACAAATTGAAAACATCGACCGACGGTATTTATAAATGTCATAACGACACTGCAACTGACTCCGGATCCGTTTCCGCGGCTGCGGTGACGGAACGGAAAAATAACGCGTAAGTATATAATATTTTATAAAACGTATAAACCGTTTAACCTTTACGCGTACAGTATAATGTAAAATGGGAGCGGGGGTCGTTTCAATATTTCAGAGGTGTGGTAGAATTAAAGTAATGGGACCAAAATCACTGACTATATAATATGATCTGTCAACACTGAATGTTTTAATTTGTTTTCAGTTTTGTCTTAGAACACTTTATATAAGTTCCAACTTCATCCAGTAAATACGCAGCACTATAGACAGGGCTTGGAATAGTAAGATTGTATTTTGTAAAGTGTTACGAAAATGGATCGAAGAAATTTGGAGCGACGATATGCTATTCAAATTTATATTTAACTTGGTGATTTCGCGAATTCGACCTATAAAACGTTGCAACAAGCGTGAGAGGAACATTTTTTTATCAATGGCACGAGTTTTTCGGTAGCACGAATTGGAGAGCCGAGTATCGTGAAAAGGCTAGGCAGGCTGATAATGTCAAAAACCTACGAAAATGTGGAAATGGAGAAGGCTCTTGTGTCGACAGAATGGTGACCAACATTGAAAATAAATTATGTGCAGACATTTGGATGCTTTTACGAAGAAAATTCACACTGTCATACAGTCTTTGCATCAAATAATTGTTGATAAAAAATTAGGATATAATTTTTCCTAATTATTAAGAAAACGACAATGAACAAAGAAAAAAAAATGATTTCATAACTGTTTGCGCGTGAATTAGCAATGAAACGAATATGCAACAATGAAATAAAAAATAAAAAATAGATGTGTACAACTGACGTTTCTTCAATAAATACGGCAAAAACAACCGCTATTTAATTTTTTTCTCTAATCCTTCGTTTTAAAATCAAATCAAATAATTTGTATTCTTAACGTTAAATTATATTGATTTTTTTCGACATCAAAAACTTCAATTTTTTATCCAACTAATATTATAAATGCGAACATTTGTTTTAGATGGATGTATTTTGTTGATATTTTTCGCACAAAATACTGAACGGATTTTCCTTAAATTTTTCATTTTGTTGGGTTCTATCATTGGATGCCGTCTCTTCTCATACCAATGAAATGAAACAAAGAAAAAGAATTGTTTCTCACATTTACTTATTGTGTTAATTAATTATGTGTAGATTGTAAATATTCAATAACAAAAAGAAATAAAAAAAAAACAGACATATTTCACACGTGGGTGCAGCAACTGTTGTAGATAGGAAGTTGGGAAAGTAGGTTATTAACGGGAATTCAATTTATATCTGTAAGCAACGATAAACCATTGCTAACAAAAAAAAGATTCTGAGATGAGTTTAATTGATATTGTTGCTTTGTCAACACTATATTCTATATTATTATGTGATATCATGGTAAAATGATTAAAACAATGTGCGTTTCTAAGACAACAATGATTGTTTGAAAAATATTAAAATAATAGAACTTAATAATAACAAAAAATTAAATAAAATGATTGTCAATAATTATTTTTTTCAATCTTTTTTTAACCTAAAGACCGAGGTGTTCCTCATTATCTCGAATATAACAGAGTTTCAAAAAATTACCTCTCTAAAGTACCACCCAGAGAAAATTTCCTTTCAGAAAGGGGTCTATAATTGGTATTTGGTTATACTATCTGGTAGAAAAAATGTTCTCATAAAAAAAAATAAAAAAAAAAAACATCATTGTAAAAACAATACATTCCTCATTCTATTCAGAATCTAAAGATTCATACACGTAGTTACAAGAAACATTATTAAGACTTTTTTCCCCCTCTGTATTCAAGCCCTAAAATGGAAGGTGACACAGTGTTATTGGTACTTTTAATGCGAAAATCTAATTTCTTTTTTTTGTTGATTTATGAGTTACTTTAATTATAAGGATGAAATAAAAAATAAAAGTTAAAACAACCAAAACAAAAAAAAATAAATATTTTTTCTAAGGTATTATTATTATTGGTGTTTATGAGTTACTTTGGTGATAAGGATGATAATATTTTCGTTATTTAGTTTTGCACTATTAACGCTGGGTGGATAATAATGCGGTATATAATATTTTTCCGCGTCTATTAATACCGTACCTTTTTAGATTTGGAGCGTAGCAAGGAACCATTTGATTTTACGACGATGTGTGTGTTTTTTATTTCTGTCTGCAAACATCATTTCGAAAATGAAACTCGTTACGATGTAATAAGTGTAGCAGTTTTTCTAAAAGGCCATTATGTCTAGTCGGTGCATTAAAAAAAAAAGGTCATTTTTGATTATCTAAAGGATTTTTCATATTAATGAGGAAAAACAGGAAAAAGACGAAAAATGAAAATTAATTAATTTATGGCGTTATGGTTCCAGTATTTTAAATTTGTACGGTTAATGTTTTAAACATCGAATACGGGATTTAGATTATTGTTCGTTCCGATTCGTATAACAAAGATAATAATAATAATAAAAATAATATGGATTATTCTCCGTATAAAATATTAATACAATAACAACGATATTGTATTGAAATTGTATTTTTTGTCCGATTTCGTTACAATCCGTTAAGTTTGCAGCAGCGAAATTGGTACCATTTTAATTCCCTAGAAATTTCATTAAGTGGGAAAAATCATAAGAAAATAAGTGCAATATCAAATAAATATTGTTATAGAAAATGATTAATGCATATTTAATTATTTTACCATATTATGACTTATAATAAATTATTGACAAAGCAACAATATTAACTGGACACCACTCAGAATTGTTTTTACGTTAGCAATGATTAATTGTTGCTTACAGATATACAATAAATTCCCGTCTGTATCCTACCTTCTCAATTTCTCACCTACAAGAGTGGCGCACCAGTTCCCAGCATAAACTCTTTTTGTTTTGTAAACTCTTAAGATGTATTAGTTGGTAACTATAGCTATACATGATTCTTCGAACGCCTTTGATGTTTTGGGAGAAATTCACATCTCGTGTCCATTAGTGTTATTATATTTCGGTTTACGACTGGACATTCGTTTTTTATTCGTGAAATTCGATAGACGTTTACTAACAAAATTGTATTTTATATACGATACACTGAATAGAAAACACCAAAATATATTAGGAGACATCGCACCGGTTCAGTAATAGGCACGACTGATCAATTACTTAATTAATTTTCGATTGCGCTATGCGCATAGAAAGTATAATAGTCACGTCGTTACGACGAGAGACTTCTTTGAACTGTGATTATTATCTTAATAAATATACTTACCGTCTCTTATAAACACTCGTCAAAAATTATGTCAAAAGTACACGTGTATAGTTGGAAAATAAATAAATATTATTATTATTATTATTATTAAATGTATACATTTTCCAAAGAAATATATGCCCAAATCTCATTTTTTTAAATCAATTTTTAAAAGGGTTATTCGTTTCGGGCTTACGATCGTTTTAGTTTTGAATAATTTCGCTGATTAACATAATTACCTAAATGGAGGCACATTTAATGCAATTTCCCACTTGAACGTAAAATGTTCGGTGAGTTACTTTGAAATAAACAAACATTTTAGAGAGTGGAAGGATAGATCGGAATAGTGAGTTATCGAGCCCCAAACAATCAAACCAATATTTTCGGGTTATTTGAATTCAATCCACCTCCATTTTCAATCTATACATTAAGATTATCCATAGAACACTCTACAATAAAGTTATTTGGGTGTTGTCTTATGAAAAAATGTGTGTGCGTTACGAATGGTTATAGTGATAAAATTTTGGGCGAATTTCAATATTGAATTCACAATGTTTTTATGGGGAGTACCAATAAAAAAAAGACGGACATACTTCACACGTGGGTAGGCCACTGTATTAAGCGAAAAGTTGGGATTTCGGAAAGGTAGAGGAGAAATTTAATGTATATCTGTTCGTAGCAATTAACTATTCCTAACGAAAAACTATTCTGAACGGAGTTAATAGTGTTCCTTTATCAACAATAAAATATATGTCCCATTATGGTAAAATAATTAAATATACATTATTTATTTTTTTAATAATATTTGTCTAATATTATATATTTTTACCGCTTTTATCCCCTTCTTAATATATTTTTCCCATTTATCGGGAAAAATTCTCGGAAAATCAAAAATGACCTCTACGAAATGTATGATTTGAAAAACGTAAATGTTACAGCATTTTTTTTTCTGTGAACATTTTTCTACCAGAAATTTTTTTTCCGATTTTTAAGTGTTACAATTTTTCTGAAAGGGAATTTCCCTGAGGTGGAATATTTGGAGGTTATTTGATTTTTCCGATGGGTTTTCATAATAAATGAGAAAACCCGGAAAAAAGTAGGAAGAACGGGAAAATTTACGAAAGTAATGCTTTATTATTTTGTTTTTTTGTTGTAAATTCAGTGATAAATATTTGTATTTACTTGATATTTCGACTGACGATGTATACTTGTCTTTTACAGACGTGGTAAAATTTTCAAAATATTTAGCTATTTTTGATCTATTTATAGACATTATAAATTTGTGAATTTTTATTTGGTAGGTACTCTAGAGTAAAATACGAAAATGATAAATATTACGGCCTTTTTAATATTGTATAGGGTATAAACCAACTCTGCTCAGAATCGTTTTTCGTTAGCAAAGATTAATCCTTGCGTACAGATGTACATTCAATTTCCCCTCAATATGCTACTCTCCCAACTTTCCACTCATCGTGCGAAGTATGTCCGTCTTTTTTTTTGTATTACTCCCAGGAATAAGTATTATACTATATTTACATTTCAATTCATTTTGTATGTTTTTGTAAAAACCTAAATTTGATAGCTATTATAAAGAGTTTATTGTTTTGAAATTTCTGACGTATCAATTTTTATTTTCATTAAATTCAGCCATTTTAATAATAATAATCAGTAAACAAATGTGATTATATCCCGCCGCATAACTATCGGTACGTTTTTCTGAACTTTTTAAAATGTTTACCCCTTATAACTAGGAGTAATACAAGTACAAAAAAACAAAAAAAAAAAACGAAATAGATTTTGATTATCCTTATTCTCTCCAGAGATATTGTAATGGGTAAATCTTCGTTATGTTTCCTGTATAACACATACATAATACAATGTAATAGTTTCTATTTTCGGTAATAATTGGACAAAATAGTTTACAGTCTTATGTTTGGAAAATAATTTATTATCATTGTAATATATATCATACTTATGGTGTATATTAAGCAACCGAATAAATAATATTATTAAATCCTTTGGAATTTATTTTCTTTCTCCCTCTTGACATTCCTTTACATGAAGTGTTAAATTCAATTCGTACTTTGGAAAAAAAAAATCGCGCATTTTTACGATATTAAAATTCCATTTCGTGCCGTTTTTTCGCCCCGGCCTTTTCGCAAAATATTGTCTACGATATTGGTACGGCGGTGAGTAAACATTCAACGATTCACAGTCTGGGGTCGGATAAATGGAGAAGAAGAAGTTTAATTGTTTCGTGTATATAATGTATTATCACATCGTTTCGTTTTGTGATTCCCGCACCCGATTATTTTTATAATATATAATATTACAAATAAAAAAAAATTAAATCTATCCAGTGGCGTATTTAGGTCATTTTGCCAACATGAGACTTATTGACTTTGGAAATTGCGCACTAATACGTGTCGAATTCCCAGGCTAAAAAAATATGTACATTTTTAAATTGTACTCGTATATTTCGTGTACTATGTTTTTTTTATTACACAATCTGCTCTAAAATTATCATTGAAATCAAATAACCAGACATAATTCAGTGAACAATTGTTATTAATTTATTATATATTTAGGGTACTGAAGGACTAATTTAACCTCCATATTACAATATTGCTTCGGATATAGTTTTCGATTTAAACGAGAAAATACGCATTAATATATTAATGTTTTATCTGATGTATTATTAACTAAAAATACCAACGTATTAAATTGTTGATTGTTCTAACTAAAAAGTCAAAGAATTTGAATTCAAAAAGATACGGACATACTTCGCACGACGGGCGGACCACTGTTGCAGGTGAGATATTAGAAAGGTAAAATAAAGAGGGGAATTTAATGTATATACGTAACGATTAATTCTTGCTAAAGAAAAACGGTTCTGAGCGGAGCTCGGTTATGCATGTTTTTAAAGGCCGTAATATACTTTACGATTTGAAAAAAAAAAATTTCGTACTCTTTACCGGTCCCCTACGTTTTTTTTCTCGGTTTTCCCCTTTTATCATGAAAACCCACGGGAAAATCAAAAATAATGTCCTCTCTAAAGTACCACCAAAGTCAAATTTTAGTGCTACACTTGAAAACTAGAGCATCTGTGGTAGAAATGTTGTTCACAGAAATAATCAAATAATGAAATACTAATACTAAAAAGCTAATATATTTCTCTCTCTCCTCAGAATTTAAATCGATAGTCATATATATAAAATAGATACCGAAAAAAAGGTCAATGAGAGAGATATATTTTCTTAATAACCCACTCCCTTCATTCTTGTATACACGCCACTGAATACATCGATCAGATCACGGGTTATTGTATAAATATCTGTCGCATATATTCTATAAATAATAATAGTTTCGGTGGATCTATAAAAATTTCAGTGTAGGTTCCGTTGTTGTAAATTTATTATTATAGCGAACAAATAAAAGTTATTGAAATACGTTGCGAACTAAACATAACCTAAGCGGATGAAAAGTGAAACTTTTACGCGGATTTAGAGACGAAAATAATAAATTTCGTGGTTATTGCGGTGTAATACTATTATTTACTGTATAGTGTCTTCGCTTTCATTTGATTTTATTTATTTTTTTCGTCGATGATCACTTAGCCTGTGAATTGCTTTTCGGTTTTTTTCTTTTTTTACGATTGCTAAATCTAATTCGTGTTACTGTTATTATTATTATTTTTTTTTATTTTTTGTGCGTACGCGTTTTTAATTCTATATTTTGTATTAGATTCCACCTGTCTCTCCATTTAAGGTGTTCAAATCGAAACGCGATTTCGATCACAGGTGAAACTCGAGAATATTTAAAACGGAACAGTTTATATTGTCCCGCACGTCTTATTACTTTATAAATATTTAAGATTTAAATGGGGTAAAGAGAAGATAAAAAAAAATCCCCCCACCCACCGTGTAAAACCTATTGGAAATCAAAATGTTAATAAATAATAAATTATTCGTTCGATTTTTATTATTATTACTATTATTTTTTTATTTTTCTTTAAAAAATCACTCATTGCCGTTAATTAAAAATAAATATTGGTTTTTGTCAATTAAAAATTATTTTCGGTTGGTGGGGTATAGTATAACATTACTACTACTACTACTACTATCACTACTACTACTACTACAGTAAAAGAAAATGAAATATGATATTTCAATTTTTAAAATAATATGGTAACCAGAAAATCAATAGGAAACGTTTGGAATGCAAGTGCATTGTACCTATACGAGACATAAGATAACCTAACCGTCAGTTTCAAATCATTTTCAGACAAACCGAAAATGTCCGTGTGTTTTTTATTTGATATTTTATTAATCAAAAACCACATTTGTCTTTTTGAATAACTAAGCTTAGTTTAAGTTAATTTTATTTGATTTAAGTAAACTTTACTTAGTTTAACGATAATTATATCAAGTTAAATGTTCCTTTTTTTAAAATGTCTATACAATCGTAATGTATACACTTTCTATACACTATTTATTAAACTCTAATAACGTATGTATGTATATTTAAATTTTTATACATTTACAAAGAATAGTGCGAGTATTCCTACATAAACCATAATATGCCTTATTGTCACGTGATAATAATAGGATATTCACATAAAAGTATGTAACACCCGTGAAAAAACCTTAAATAAATACAATTATAACAAAACGACTTGATTAAGGTAAAATTATTTTGTAAAATAAACGTAATTCTTTACCTACTAATTTTGGTTTAATTAGTTAAGTGAAAGTCATCGAAAAGAGTAACTTATAACTTTTTCACTGCACAGTTACTGCCCGGCTTTGTTTTCAACATCCTACATCTGAAAGTGTATCGATTTCGACCTTCAATAGAGGTGCAGAACCACTAAAAGTATTCACATTTCGTTTGTATACACGGTACGGCTTCGTATGACGTTGGCATTTTTAATTGATTTTCAAAATGTATAATAATGATATTGATAGGACGGGAAACGTGTTTAACTATACTGAACCGACTTAACAATCGTAATTCTTCACCGCAATCCGACGGACGTTACCTACATAGTAGTGTGGTCTTGCGTGAGAAAATCGACCACCGGCTTTTTGGTGTTAATCGGCAAACTCCCGTGGTTAAGATAATAATATTATAGATATATATATATATATATATATATATACGAGAACAGAGGTTTAAAACAAGGTATCTTTATGGTAATATGTTTTATGGTAATCGCTTTACTCGTAGCCGATAAATTATTGTATGCCGGTCCGCGAAACCTTTTACCGCGGGAATTAGTGAAGTATCAGGATAGCATCACCGAAAATGTCCATTTCACCGGAATTCGTGCCCTCCTGTTCATTTAAAAAAAGACGTACATTCTTTGCCTGATGGGTGCAACCAATGTTGTTCTTGAAAGTCGGAACGGTAGAATATAAAGGGAAAATTAATTAGTATCTGTAATTAACGATAAACCACTGTTAACGAGAAAACGATTCTGAACGGAATTCAGTTAATAGTGATGCTCTGTCAACATAATGTATGTTATATTATAGTAAAATAATTATATAGGCATTATATATTTTCTTTAATAATATTTGTTTAATATTGTAATGATTTTACTATTTTTTCTACGTCTTTCCACGTTTTTTCTCGGTTTTTCACATTTGCTGGGAAAACTCTTGAAAAATCAAAAAATGATCTGTTAAAAATATTTCCCCAGTTGGATTTAGTTTTATAAAAAATGCTATTATTTTAAATCGGAGCAAAATTGCTGGTAGTCCACAGGAAAAAAAATCATAGTATTTTATTAATATAATTCGTGTATTTTCCCGTTTTTTTTCACTTTTTCCCTTTTATCAGGAAAATCAAAAAAAATTACCTCTCTAAAGCGTATTACCTCAAGAAAATGTCCTTTCAGAAAATGGTATGTATCGTATAAATCGGAGTAAGCTTTCTGGTAGAAAAAGTGTTCACATAAATAAAAAAATTAAATTAAAAAGAAGCAAATATCTCTGTAAAACCAATACATTATTCGTTACACTCAGAATCTAAAATTGAGGGAACCAAAACAGTGTATCGTATAATAATCTACACAAGTTTGTGTACACATGTTGTAATACCTTACGTGTCTATCCGAATACGGACTCGGGTACTTTTCGATTTTCCCGAAGATAATAAAATCCCGATAATTAACACCGAATAGTAATCCTGTGTTCTATATGCCGTATTTTTTTTCTTTGCTTATCTTTTTTATACATACCCGTCGTACATTTTCGCCAACGCTTAAGATTTACACTTTTTCGATGCAGTATAATCACATTTGGAACAACAGATAGGACAGGCTTTCGCTTTATGTTGGCATAATTTAATTGTTTTTTCGAGAAGTTTTGGGAAAACTTCTATATTTCACCTACATAACGACCTTTACCGAAATTCAACGATATGTAACCATCATGATAATCAAATATATATTAAAAAATTCAACAAATCGAGAACATTGCGTTGTACGGTTTTGTTCGAATATTCGACGTTTTTAATCGAATTTCCAAAGGAGCCAACGTTTGTTTTTTCAGATTTCTCAATCGATATTTTTTTTCAGCTCTCCCGTGTTTTCAAGTATCGCAATTTAAACTTATGCCTTTTTTTTTTTTGTCATGTATTTTGATATTATAAAAAAATATTGCAATCATATTATAATCAGATCCAGTTTTGCTATCAATCACATCCAACGTCTTGCTGGATTTTGAAAGTTACAGTTATTGTTTATTATAGTAATAGGTATCTAAACACGAAAAATTAATACTTGATGACTGATAAATGGTAATATAATAACATTCGGGAAAAAACAATATACCTCGTTCAACTAAAAAAAAATCGGTTATCTGATTCGTTTGGTATTTTTATTTTTCCGTGATTAATGTTTGTGTGTTATGAATCAATTCAAAAACGGTCGATTAAACGATTTCTTTGCGGGAGTGGGAACCGGTGATACACGAATTCTGCGGAATATGGCATTTTCGACCAAAGCGCATGTTTTAAATGTATCATAATGTATGATTGAACTCCGAAAACAATATTATATTCGGGTTGATGATCCTATTCGAAACGACCGTCTCCATACGAAGTTTGCATCGTGTTGTATATCATGTCATTCGGCAAGTAGTATATAGGAATATAACAATTAAGTCAACGTGTAGAACAAAACAGCAATAATATTACTGGTGTACGATTGCGTTATGTTGTATTATGCAAACTTACAGAAAACGTCCGAAATACGAGCATGTAATAACATTATCACGTTATTTAATACATTCGGATGCGTTAAATTTGACTATTATATGTGTTTTTTTTTTTGTGTTAATTTTTTTTTTTTATTCTATACAACTTTTCTATTATAAATCTTCTTCCGATTTCCAAGTGTAACAAATTTTCTGAAAGCAAGATTTGTCTGATTGACGCATTAGTAGAGTCTATACTTTGATATTCCTTTCTTAATAATGTTTCTAAAATCTATAGTTAAATTATTTGAATCTGACTATATCATTTATCGTGTTTTTTTACTAATTTTTGTTTTTATTTTTTTGTTTTAGTGCCATAGTTAAAAATCGAAATCCAATGCTGTAACACGTTTTCTTCTTTCCAATAGAAACAAATAAATATATAATCGAAATCGGATTCACTCTTGAGGTATGCACAGTTTTTTTTTGTAAAGTATGTTTTGAGCAAAAAAAAAGTTATACACTGGCTTCATAATATATCAGTGAAAAAAAAAATACATCTTTCCGTTGGATACATAACCTTCTCATATTTTGAATCTAAAACTTAAAATATTAGATTGGAATTATTTTGTAAAGGATCTTTATGACTATGAAATACTGTATAATATATAAATGTATGTATAGGTTTTTTATTAGAAATTTGTATTTTGTCTAGGGAAACGGTTGGAAAAAATGTTTCACAAGGACTTGTTAAACCTGTAAATAGTTATAAAACGAATTACTACTTGTGGTTTATAATTGTTTTTTTTTTTTTATATACGTTTAAGCGCAGTTTGCTGGACAATGATAAAAAATCTTCCGTTTTCCTAATGGAATTAATTCAAAACAGTCAAACTTTTTGACGTATAATAATTTATTGCAAAAGTTAGGGTAAAAATAAAAAATAGGTGCCTAAAAAATATAAAAGGAAAACGAATACGCTTTCGGGTGACGGTCTTTATTGTGTTATACAATTCGATATTGCGTTGAACAAATATTTTGTTGTCACCACGATACGGTGGCGTAAAAAAATAAATATAGCGCCGATCTGCCGTGGACTATTTTCGCTGTTATTTTTGATATGCTATTGTAAAATAATATCAATTGAAAATACTCATATCATTGTTCACCTGTTATATAGGAAAAATTGTTTTTTTTTTTTTTTTTTTATCTTTTCAGCCCGACAATAGGAATACGGTTGGGTCGGCGAGAAAACGTCTCGTGCCGATTAAGTATAAGATGTCAAACCGATCATATTAATATCATATTGAGTCGAGCAATTGTAATAATATTGTTTTTATGTAGCAACTTGATTACTAAAAATATAACAATCGTCCAACGAGTAACTTAGCGGACTATACTTTTATCTCACAAGTTGGTTTACTCCAGAAAACTCCACAGGAACATGTTAACACGCTATTCGTTACCTCAACTAGTGTTATTTTATCGATGATAAAACGATATTTGAATATGTGTGACAATAATACTCATACAAGAACGTGTCACCAGCAGTTTTGAAATCGAATGTTCGAATGTCGTACAATCGAACGTCAAGTTTTCGGAAGCTCGTGTTTCCGCGTATACGCTTTCGAGAGATACGTTTGATAATAAAAATGAATAAGAAAAAAGCTGTTCTAGGATATTGGGGACGAGTGCAGCCACTGTCTTAGGTGGAAAGTTGAGAATGTGGGATACAGACGGCAATTTAATGTACATCTGTAAGCAATTAATCATTGCTAACGAAAAAAACAATTCTGAGTAGTGTACAGTTAATAGTGTTGCTTTGTCAACAATATATTATACGTCGTATTATGGTAAAATAATTACATAAGCGTTAATCATTTTCTTTGAAAATATTTGTTTAATATTGTACCTATTTTCCCGTGATTTTTCCCCACTTATTGGGATTCCTAGAGAATTCAAATGGTATGAATTTCACCGCGGTAAACTTGACGGATCGTAACGGAATTGGAAAAAAATACTATTACAATACCATATCGTCGTTATTGATTAATATTTCATATGGAATATAATCCATATTATTTGTATTAGTATTATTATCATTACTATACGAATCGGACCGAAATATGATCTAAATCCCGGATTCGACGTTTAAAATAACAAAATGGGCCGGTCGCGAGCAATTTGTTTCGAAATACGTTTGTGTGGATGCGATAGGAGTAGAGGAAAGGGGAGGGGGTGTGACTGTATAATAATACGTTAATTTTACGGTTCTCTAAAATATTGGGAGCCTGCGAGAGATTTTTCAACGGACGCGCGAAATTATAATTATTTATAAAAACGGTTTACACCCGAATGATTAAAGACATTATTACAGACCATTTCACCGCTAATGATGATAGTTCGTTTATTTTCGAGTAGTTGACTGGCGTAAAAAAAAAAAAAAACAACAAATCCCTCCGAGTAAAATCGACGCGTTTTTTTTTTTTTTTTGGTTTTGGCTTTCGGTGAAAATTCGGCAATAATTTTCCGATTTTACGGGTACAAATACAATCTATTTTATTTTTTGATAATTAATTACAATGATTTGATTAGGTATATGATTTTTCGTGTCCGCGATATCCATTGAATCGAACAACGTTTACCGCTTATATTTTCGCATAATAAAATTATTTAATTTGCACTGCATTTTTTCGCGCAAATAATCGACTTTTCCTGTAGCGTTCGAGAGCCTGGAGTGACGTCATATCATAGCAGTGTTGTGTTTTAGATAGATATATTAACTTTTATATGACTATTTAGTTAGCACGAGAAATAAGTTATTTGAGACAAATAATTAAATATTTTTAAACCGTAATTCAGTATATTCGTGTGAAATGGCAGGTTAAAATATTTAATTTTACGCACGTCTCACAATGAAATCAGAAACCAACACCTTTTGTGCAAAATTACCAAAGCGAGAAAAAAAGCTGCATTCACATTTCAAGTTTGCACCACTATCCAGTCTTCAAAGAAAAGAAGCCAGAGGAACGACATCAGGTTATTAAAGAGTGAAAGTGCTGCTTCTTATATTTCAGTGAGCACTTGGTTGCACAGTTGCAAGAATCAGAAGCTGTGTTCCTAATGCGGCAATCGTCATTACTCTTACACTTTGATATACTTAGTTGTAGAATATAAACAAAATTTGGCCCGGGAAAACTTTATTTGAATTAATTGTTTAATGAAAAAAAAAAAAATAATGAAATAATTAAATTAAATATTTAATTTAAATGCATTTGATTTATTAGTTTAATAATTCAGAGACATCAGTCACATAATCCATTTGAGATTTGATCATGGCTTTCTTGGTTTTTTTATAGTTCGAGAGAAATAATCTTTGGGACTTGGAAAATACTTTTTTATTAGCGTTTTCTAGAGTGATATAATTTGTGAGTTATTATTATATCTAGAAAGTTATTTAAGATGTACGCGATTTTCGTTTAATTTAAGTAGATGAGAATGTCTTTGGCTTCGGATAAATGCTCGAAAATTCGATTAGAAATTCGTCGTAAACTCTATAAGAATATAAAGGTAATAGGGGAAAAAAGAGTGCTGCGTTTGATTTGATATGCACTTTTTTTTCTGTGACGAACGAGGTTAATAATACTGTTATCATCGTATGGAGAATTCGGATATCGGACAGCGGGACTCGCGAAGGATATAACAATATCCGATTCGATATTGAAAAGTCGCGATGTCGAAGCTGTACGTGTTTAATGGGACCAAAAGTGACAGACGCGTCGTATATATGACGGATCGGCATTAAGGTTCGGGAATTGAAAATTGTCCGTAGGTTTTGCATGCGATTCAGATGTGATGTTATTTTCCAAGGGTTTTGTAAAAGGAGACAATATTGTTCGTTATTTGTACATATATATACATAAATGGTTTTCGAGAATAGAATATTATTTCGAGAGAAAACGATATGCAGCGATATGGTGTTCGGGATAACCACCACCGCCGTTGCAAAAAAAAAAAAAAAAAACCAGCTACATTTTTTGTCAAACGGCCTTTGTGTCGTGATCGTATTCTCTCTTAAAAACGAAAAAAAAAAAACGATTTGCCTGAAAAGTTTGATATATTTAAATAAACCCTGTATAATATACGTAAATATATATAAATATATTTATCGGATCGTCGCCGTCGTCGAGAGGTCTTCTTTACCGACATGTCCACAAACATTTTTTTTTTTTTAAAAAACACACATGAGCATCAGATCTCCGTCACTTTAGTCGAATAGTTATTTATCCTCTCCTCCTCCCCTTTCTCCTCGTCAATTTATTTTTATTATAAAAATATCCACTGTGAAACAATACATAACCAAATACCATAATATATCGCAATAAAATGTTAAACATATATTTTTTTTCCTACTATAGAACTGTACTATTCTCAGAAAAAAGTGAAATTTTAGTATACAAATGTCAGGAGTTTGGGTTAAAAGTTGAAAACCCTAAAAGGCACGTTCTCGACACTTATATCGTCATGCGTACACAACATTTCATCCATCTGGCTTCGTTTGAGTGGTCTGTATAGGGGCGTTCAAAGTTAAATAATACATGATCCTCCCGCAACAATAAATCGTGAAATTCACATAGAAATTCAACCAGACTTGTGTCACATCAATATGCCTATAAAACAACTCTGATTCCCGAGTTTGAGTTCATTTCGTTCAGATGCAGCCGCTAAAAGGATCCGAAAGTTGCGGAGAAAAGTGCAATAGTCTATATATTCTAGGATAGTTAAAAAACAAAAAAAAATGCCTTTTTTAATCGTACGAATATAATACCAAGCAGAAATCCGAGAAGGTCGATTGTATGTAGGTATATAATATATATAACGGAACACAGAGTTTCACACCAATCCCCGTACGATTATAATGTAATGTTTATACGATTAAACTGTGCGTTGTTATTAGAAAGCCTTAGTTATACGGATTTGCATATTATTATGTTCGATCCTACCGAGTGCATGCGCGATCGTATTGTGTATTTGAAATTCGGCCTTTCAAATCGGAGAGCATATCATAAGTTTAAAAGCCAAAATTTTATTTATAATTTTCAAAGGGTTAAGGCATATTTTGTTATTAATGCAATTATATAATATGCATTTATTATAAGCCCATAATAAAAACAATGAACTAATTCCTCTTTGTATGTCTGATTAGTACAATAATTTAGAATACGAATAAGAATTACTATGATGTTATTCAAGTGTTCATTTAAAATTACAGCCGAAAATTTTTCGAAATGCAACAACAACAATTCTTCGTTCAGGGAAAATTATAAATATTCAGTTTTATGACTGTGGACTTTGTATTAATATAGTATCCATTTAATTTTTAAATTTTTTTTTGGTACTTAAACAATTCAAAAAAAAAAAGCCTGTTTTGCATAGATTTAAACAATCATAAAGTTTATTTATTAATATTTTTTAATAGGTTTATTTATTTAAACGTTACGGACAATTTACAATAATTGAATAGTAATTGAATGTAATTAAATTTCAAATGAAAGACAGTCAAATTGTTTTAAAAGTTTTTTCTTATCTGATAAAACAAAAACTCGGCTTCAGATTTCAATACTCAAGGCTAATCGCATTTAACATTAACTTCTTTGAACAAATTACTGTTTTATAAATATATTTCTATGCTTTAGATTTGTATACATAATATACATAACAGAACATAGAGTTTTTTAATTTTTGCGGATATTTAGTGGGAAATATATGGTTTTGTGTTATACATATATGTTTTACATTTGTTTTTTCTCATACATTTTAAAAATAATCACCATACATATACACTGAATAATACTAAAAAAGGACAAACATACTTCGCACGTGAGTGCAAAGTTGTAAAGGTAAGATACAGATGGGAATTGTATGTACATCTGTAAGCGACGCTGAACCATTTCTAACGAAAAAACGATTCTGAGCGGAGTTCAGTTGATATTGTTGCTTTGTCAACAACATATTTTATATCATATTATGGTAAAACGATTGCAACAACATGCGTTTCCACGAAAATGATTGTTTAAAAAATGTTTAAAATAATAAAAACTTAATAATACCAAAAAATTAATAAAAATGGTTGCCTAACCTTATTTTTAATCTTTCAATCTTTTTTAACCTAAAGACGGAGATTTTCTTCATTATCTCGAATAATAAATTACTTTTAATAAATGACCTTTCTTAAGTACCACTAAGAGAACATTTCCTTTCAGAAAAAGTGCTATACTTGATGATCGGAGTATGCTTTCTTTTGGAAAAAGTGTTCGCATAAAAATAAAAACAATAATAACAATAATAATAAATAAACATCTTAGGAAAATCGAAAAATTCGTAAATTCCTCACTCCACTCAGAATCTAAAACAATAACAATACATAACCGTATATATAATTACCATCGTAAACCGAATATCCGAATAACCGAATAACTTTTGTACGGCATTAGCTTTAGTAAATCGGACGATGGTATACGTATACAGATGGCATTATAATACCGTTGTGTTACATTTAAATATGGACACTAAGCGCAAACATTGTTCTTTATTGGGAAATACGAAAAGACGAAAAAAAAAACAAAACGTCGACGGCCCGTTATTGCACCGGTCCATTCAATTACGGCATTTAATTCGAACCGCGGCGTCACTAACGGCGAGGAAACGAATACATTTAGGATCCGGTGGCGGAAAGCGATCCCCGGCGACATCGTACCGCCGGCGGCTATAAAACACCGTAATATCATTACACAGAGATAAGCATTGGGTTTTTAACGGTTATACTGATATAATTGTTATATTGTTTCGAATCGCGTTATCGATCACCTTTACGCGCGTGCGTACGATTATAATATTATTATTCGCGTCCACTCCGGTTAATTAATCTTTCTCTGTATCACTTTGCTCGCCCGGCTGACCGACTGCAGACTGACACGGAGCGCGGAGGTTTCGGGCCGGCTCGCGTGGTATTCGCGCCCTCGTATTACTCGTTAGTTATTACGACGACGGGGGAGTGGGACACAATCGATTCCGCCCGCTCGCCCGGACTTAGTATCCGTACCCGGACACCGTCGTCTGCCTATACGCTGTATACCTATCCCTATACGGCACGCGTATCGTTTATCTTTATCTGTACCGTGCGATGTGTACTGCGCCGGCATTAAAAACATTTGCGCCCAAGTCCGGGCGAAAAACAAGTGAAAGCAAAATAAAAATCGATTGGAAAAAAATCGCGATGTATTTAAAAAAAAAATAAACGCGCGAGTGGCAGAGCTCCGTCGCAAGATTTGAATTTTCCACCAGCAGCTGACCTGTCGTTACGTAGTTCATGGTTATTTTATCACAATAGACGGAGTGGTTCTCGTGATGTTTGCTAACATATAAATAGACGGCGGGTCGGAGATTGGGAAAGTTCAAACCGTCTAAAGGCACATGTTCGACAACAATTTAACCGAGTTACTACTTTCACGAGTCTGTAACGGTCTTTAAAACTCGTTTTTTCACGTGAAAATATGAAATCTGAGCATGGAATAATTGTCGGGGAAAAGAATGAATGTCAAATCCAACAAACAGGCACATCCTTATTGATATTATACATACACCATGCATATTATACACAATTTCATCATCTGGCTAACCGACTGTATCTGGAAGGTCTGTAAGAGTATACAAAGTTAAAAAAAACAAACTACCTCCAGCAACAACATGGCGAAGTTCATATTGAAATATTAAAAAAAAAAAACACTAAAAGACTCCTGGTACTTAGCTCTATGAGTAGGTACTACTGTAATTGGGCATATCCTGGCATATTTTTCTTATAATAGGGCGGTTAGTGCTAAAAATATAAGCTCTTGCAGACTCTTTGCTTTTTACTTTAGTTTAAAATATTACTGAAAGCTCAAAGTCACGATTAATCGTTGTATCTAAAAACCGATTCTGAGCGGAGTTTAAAAAAGTGGCAAGGTTACAATATAATATTTATATTCGTGTTTGTTTCTTACATTACAGCTGTAAAAATGGTGAAATCAACAAAAATATCGTTAGTTTTGTCATTCTGAGTTGAAATTAAAAACAATTTTCATGCAATCACCAGTCAGGAATTCCGCGTTTTTATGGTATACTTAATGAAAAAGTATTTATTTTCTCAATAAATTTTTATAAGAAGAAAAAATTTAATTGTAAAACGAAATATTGTTTTTCGTTATTATCGAATTTGAGGTTTTTTTTTTTGGGCGGGGGGATTCAATTTCCCACCATTTTCAGATAATCAATTTTCCATATCGTATTATAATATTAAAAATAATATTCAGTTGTTTATTGTTGTACAATGTAATTTCTATTATACAAAATAGACGAGTGAAAATTCGACTACTAACTGAGCTCTGCTGTTCGCGAGCGTTTTTTTCCTCATTGGTATGTTAGCGCTCGTCAGAGTATCGCGGGTCGAACGAATCGGGTTTTTTTTATTATTCGGTTAACGACTTTTCGCCGTTCGGCCTTTATTATTATGTACATACGATATCGGGTTTATAATCACGGTTACTATATTATGTTCGGTACCTAATACTCTATCGCGTATACTTTCGGGCAATTCGTCTATGTTTTTACCGTACATATCCATTTATAGACGTTAAAACATTATGCTTAAAATTATATGATTCGGTATATAGGTACATGACCGTACGATTTTGAAAGAGAATATAAACCTATCTAAACCTTAACAAAAACAACATTAGTTTATAGAATTTAACTGAAAAAGAAAAAATGTCATACGGTATATTACAAAAAAAAAAAAATATATATATATATATTTATTTTCAAAGGAAAAATAATAATTACAAATGTTAAATCCAAGTGGAAAATCAGTACTCGGTAATCACGCAGCACGTTACAAAGGTAAATGAAAAATCGTTAAAGAACACAGAAACATTAATAACTACGTCTTGTAGAGCGTATCAAAATGTTTATGTGATTTTTGCTACTATAACAATAACATAACATCAATAAAAATAAATCATTAAGTTTTTTAACTGTTGTCGACAAAGTCAAAATGTTTACTTTTTAACTAGCTGACGTCAATTAAATGACCACTTGCAATATATATATTGAAATAAAGGTTCTGGGAAACATTTTCGGATTAGTCGAATTTAGTAAGTTTGAAAAAAAACCATGTATTCAAAATACACAAAAAAAAAAATAAAAAAAAACTAATACTCAGAAAATATCACTAGGTAAACTGCGATCAAGGTAGAATGATACCGTGGAAAATTATATTAGACGATGGACTAAAATATGGAAAACCTTGAATGCTTGTGGCTGTTTAAGGAGCTTTTCAAAGGGATAAAATATGTCAATTTATCGAATACAATTATTGATCACACGATAATTTATTTAAAACAATTGATGGAACGAAAGAGCTAAGATCAAAAAAAAAAAAAAATTACTGGAGATTACTCGAAAACTATTATAATAGTTACGGAAGACGATTTCAATTCAGTAAATCCTATCGGTTAGATTAAATAAGTTGTTGCAGTGCGTGTTTAATTTATTATTATGTCTGTTTTCTCGTTGAACGGAGAAAGATGAAAATACCAAAATACGTCAGCATATGAAGGAATTTTTATACTGACATACATGGAAAGGTATACAACTAAAAACCGTATTAGGAATGTGTTGGTTATACAAAAATCAAAAATTAAAGTTCAGTGGATTCGTGTTGTTGTCCCGAAAAATTGTTAAGTTTTTACGGCACATAATATTATAATATCCATGTTCCAAACGCAGCGAAAATCGATAGCAAAAAGAGCCGGTTCATGTTCAAAACGGAATGCTACTCACACTAACGCTCAGTACACTCGTGCTGTCAACTATTCTTTTCGATCAATCGATAATTTTCTATTCCATTCGAGGACCGTTGGCCTGAAAAATAAGAAGGCCTATCGGGATGTAAGACACCTACTTATTTCAACATTATAATATATCGTAACTATTTGTTATTAGACCATGTGCAGACTGTTTTCAAACGGAGTAAACCAATTGTATGCGAAAATAGCATAAGTTTACGTATATACCGTTCGTCTCTCGTTTTCGGAGTTTATTTTCGTAAAACAGCAAATGAGATTCTCGTCCTCGCGAGACACGCGATATTTCACAAACTCGCGAGGAAAAAACAAATATACGACGACCGCGGCCTTCAACAAACAAGACGCGAACGACTTATCGAGACGGTTAATTTTTCGGAATTTTTTCAGCCAGTAACAAAAAAAAAAAAACAAATAAAGATTTTCCGTCCACTGACGGCACTGTTAAAGAGTCCGATTAATTTGGAGCGTTCACAAACACTGTAGTAGCACGGGACACAACACAAATTATGTGTGTGCGTTATAAAAAATATAACTACCTACAGTTGTTTTTACTTTTAAATTCTGAGCAGATTGAAGAATGTATTAGTTGTATTTTTCTGTTTTGTTTTTTTTTTTTTTTTTTTTTTTTCGTATTTTGATTTTCCTTCCAGTTTTCATAATAATTGGAAAATACGGAAAAACATAGAAAATACCGGAAAGTTGGTTTCGATATTTCCAAATCGGGTAAAAATTATTGTAGAAAGCTGAATTTTTAACGGAGTGCCTATATCAGCTTTTTCTAAACGTAGTCAAATATTCAAAATATTCTGGTGATTTTTGAGCTATTTAAAATCATTTTCCAGTTTAGATTTTTTTTTTTTAGTTCTTTTTTAGTACGGACTATGTAGATAAAATTATTTGAGCAAACAGAAATGGTTGATCATTAAACATAAGGTTCATTGTACATTTTTCTTAGTGGCTAATAAAAAAAAATAAAAAAAAATCTAAACGTCACATAGTAGAAACAATAAGCGTTTTAAATTAAAATTTTGACGAAAATCGTAGCATTTCAAAAAATGTGCAACGGGACTTCGCTATTTCGTCATCAAGAGTTTATTGTTACTTATTAATTATAAATTGAATAACTTTGTGTATTCTATCTTTATAACTTCCCATTTACAGTGGAGCGCCCATCAGCAGTATTAGCTCTTTTTTTTCATACTGTCCGATTTTCTTTGCACTGCAACATAATAGTACTGCCAACGGAATATTACCTACCAATACATAGGTATATATATATAGATTATTAATTATATTATATCAAGTAACAATAAACGCGTACCTACAATAAAAAGGGCCGTTGCAAACTCACCGCCGCGCCGCCGAATAGCCGTGGCCCTTTGTTCCGAACGGTAATTTCAAAGTAAAGTTTTTTTTTTTTTTTTTTCAGAGGCCTTTTGTACACCACGTCCTTTATACCGTTTTTTTCCTTCTAGAAATTTATACGAGAAGTAATATTTTTTTTAGATTTTTATAACCACGAAGGAACGATTTTTATAACAGTATTATTATTTCGTCGGTATACGTTTATTTTCGGTCTATCGTCACTGTCTTACATTTCCCGAGCAGATTACTATTAGCTGAATTTGTTCCCTTGTCACCAAAGTAACCCAAAAGCCAATTCAAATTTTACAAAAAAATTAACATTTTCCCTCATTTATTGAGAAAATTTCAAGAAAAATCGTAATACAAACTGTTCAATGCATCATCTAGACGAACATTCAGATGATCAACATAAACGTTCCCATAGACGTGTGTCGAATTTTGTTACAGGTACTGCAGAATTTTTCTTATAGGTACTCAGTTTGGGTAACGGTTAATTTACGGTAATACTACAGTCAAAGTAAACAATTTTACATTTTATTGGAAATTGTATACCAATATATACACATATTATACAATAATAAATTCAAATAATTTTAACAAATACACTGTCCAATTACAAACACATTTTGTTTGTATTGTTTCAGTCATACTAAATATTAAATATTAATACTTGTAGGTACTAATTTTGTATTCAATTTGTATAAATACCAGAGTAATACAGAAACTTAAAAATAAAACGCTATTAAAAAAATAGTGTTTTATCAATCGATAACAATCCGAATCTTATTTATCATGATGATGTAGCATTTTGACACAAATCACCTTATCAGGATTGAGTTACCAACACATAATATATTAAAGAAACGAATAGGACCGCGGTGTTACCAATGAAATTACAGAATATATTCTGTGTCTTATTATTCACAGATATTTTACGACAAATTTCGTATTGAAAAATACAAAAAAAAATTTAAGTTCTAGAGAAAGTTATAAAACCGAGATTCGATTTTTATGTTGAAAATAATAAACAATACTTTCGAAAATATGTTGGGTATGGGGTCGAACAATGTTAATATTTGTAACTGGACGTTTTATTGTTTTATCGGCAAGATTATTGAGTTAAAACTCCGAAATCACAATCGGCGAAAAACGATTTAATCACATTCAAATAGGACAAAATGTAAACGACGTACGGCTAGACGAATGTCCGACCCGTTGCGATCTATCGCATCCAATATGCGGATTTTTGGATTTGTTTTTTTCGCTCGACGAGCTATCCATAAACGAACATAATAACGAGCGTCGTGGGCATTGAGTTTTTGTAATTATATATGTTTTATGAACGAATACAATGCATTGTGTGGTCGGTTTTTTTTTTCGGTATTTTTCAGACTTACCTATATATACAATATCAAGCAAGACCGCAAGTATTGTAATAATTTATACCGTTTGCACTGCGAAAAAGTATAAAATAGTATGGCGAGCTTTACCGTTGCTAGACGTTTAAAAAGAAAAAAAAAATAACTAACGAAAACTAACCGTATTGTATATATATATATATAAATGTATAATATATAGAAGCGGCGTGATTTATCTGTTGGAACATAACGTTTTACGCCAGTAACGTTTCAATAGGATCGTTACATCGTCGTCGGTCGATTTAACGAATACAAATGTTTCGCACTTGACCGCGGTATTATCTGTTATTATTATTATCTCATCACGTCATATCATCTCAAAACCTCAAAAAAAATATAATAATAATATATTTTTTTTAAATTTGCACAACATTATTATAATACGTTTTTGATGATGATACTGTAAGACGGACGAGTATTTTATACTCCTTCTATTATATTCGTTTCGAATAGAAATACTCGCGACCGTTTCACGTTGAATTTCTTTGAATAATTCTCGGTGTTGAAAAACGCACCAGTAAAATTAGTAACCGCCGCTGTTGTTATTATGATATGAATATTAGGCATTCGTGTTAGTCAACGTCTATAGGTATCTAAATTGATCCTCTACGATCGATCATTTTGGATCATATACACTGGATAGAGCTACCAGGGTTAATAATAATATGAACTGTTGAAAATGGAGATAAATATTTTTAATAAAGTACTATCAAACAGAAATTCCTCATTTCTTGAGATACTCTATGAACGAAATTGGAGCATTTACCTAACCTAATAAAGTGTTTAAAAAAAAAAAATAAAAAAACAATATAACTCTCAAAATTTTCCCTCTTCCTTGTTGTGTGTTATAGTAAATGTTTAGAGCACAATATTTTGGCTCCAAAGTCTCTATTATGCAAGCGTCATAAATTAAATGGATAGAAATAAACTCCTTCTTATTGCTATTGCTCAAAAGGATCGGATTACTCAGCAGCTCGACGGTGGCAGTGTGCAGTCTTTTCGTGTGTGGGTCGGCCGAAAAATCCCTTTTTGTCTTACCTGATGGCTATAAACTCAGATATCATGCTTTAAAAGTAGTTAAAAGGAAAATAACCATAGTTCTATCTAGTGTATATAATCTAAGCCAATCTCTGTATCCATTGATCTAGTTTATATTTTTTCTTATCGAGATAAATGTAAAATAAGTTATCTGAGATAAATCGTCGAATGTTTTAAATTATAATTTATATTTTTATTGGACAAAATATATACAAATTTAAATTTATATTATTATTTTAATAAAATTAACTATTAATTAAGTTACGTCAATCACACATCCTTTATAAAAACTAGATATGTACCAAATTCAGTACACTTTTAATACTTTAAGCATTTGATTTTAACTTGATATGTAAAATAACAAAATTATTTTATTTTTAATCAATTTGTTATGTTTGTTTTTTTTTTATTTAGATAATGATCCAATAAATTATCTCGTTTTCTAGATTAATATTTTAAACTTATCTTTATACAAAACTGTTTTTATCAATTTATCGATTTGAACTGGCTTTTAAACCTCCCGGCCATTTTACCGGTACATTTCCCGGTTTATTTACATAATATTTTCATATTACAGAGATATTTTGTGAAATTATTTTAACCGAGGACGACAAAATAATACCTATACTCGCTAATTCTATTTTGTTTTATTCGTGGCGTGAGTGAGGGGAGGATGAATAGGACTCACTGCCATATAACAACTGTCGCGTATAATACGTCTAACAAAATTAAAATAATATCATAATATAATAATCGATGTCGCTCGGTGTTCTCGCGGACAAAAAAGACGCATTGACGCGTGACAGTTTGTTCGGGCCGAAAGAGCCTTTTCAAAATTTGCAGACAACGACCGCAAAACTTTATGGAAGTCACGACGGGTTATGGTTTTCCCGCGAGACGCGGAACTGTCACAATATAATAGTCTACCTATCTACCTATACATTCTTTGACGACTTTTCAACAAAAACACACCCAAGACGAACCATTAAATTCGATTTTACGTTCACGTTTGGTAAAAACAACAACCTCCGCAAACATCTCCTCACCTCTCCTCTTTACCGAGAAATTCCAACTGGTCTCGAAAAATAATTTCCACTAGAAACACATTTTTAAACGGCTGCATAATAATTTAAGAGTATATCGTATTTTCGGGATTTAAATCAATTAAAATATATACCTTGAATTCTGACTTTTTTAGATTCCGATTTTTAAGTATAATGAAGGATATTACAAAAATGTGTTTTTTTTTCTCCGGAAAACACTTTTACTGTTAGTAAGAAAGATCTTACTGTATCATAGTACTTGATTTGAAACGTTTTTAACATTTTAATTATTATTTCCTTTTTTGGAGGAATTTTGTTTTTTGTTGATTCTGTATTATTTTGGCACTGTGCAGAAATCACGATTAATACTAGGTACTCCGCCTAGAATCGCTTTTTGCTTATAATGATGTATCGTAGTATATAACAGTAACAGTGTGAGTAGGTTAAGAAGCTACTTTATGAATACATCTAGTAGGCGTGTGGGCAAATGGGTGGTACTTATCATTAGATGTGTTCACGAAAAAGGGGAAGTTCAAGAACGTCTAGTGTAATTTTAGTAATATCTCTTTATTCTTCTAAGTTTGGTTTGTAAGCTTGGTATTTTGCTATTTTACTAAAACTGTTTTATAATAAAAAAAAAAATGTTATGCCCTCATTGGTATATAAGCTATTTAAAACACTATAATATAGGTATTCTATTTTCCTAACTGTCCTCATAAGGGTCTACATTCAATAATGGTCTAAACAACGGTGCAAAGTATGTCCGGATTTTTCAATATTCGCCAAATTTGATAGAACATGAGTAATTTTATCAGTTCTCCGGTACGAGCGGTTTTCCATAAAAAAAAGAAATCTATTCCATGAAAAAGTACTTAAATTTTTTTTTTTTTACCGCGTATTTGTAATTTATTTTATGAATACATCATATATCATAACCAGGTATTTTTTTTTTTTTAATTCTGCACAAAATACGTTGTTTGTTATTACAATGGATTTTTTTTTAAAATTTTTAAGCACGTTTGGGACAGTATAAACAATACGTCCAAAAGTTTCGGTGCAGAAACTTTATAATATAATATAAGTAAGTCAAGTAATTGAACAAAAGTGTTACTTTAAATATATTATTACTTTTCTGCGCTTCGTGCGGAACGTTGAAAAAACTAAAAACGTAAACTTAGCAAGTGTTAACATAATTTAATTATGTTCCGGTGACGCTCGGAATTGTTTTTTACGTTAATTTTGTCAGAGGCTTCACAATGTATCAAAAACAAATTAAAATATAAACAATTTTTGATGTGAAGGTTGATATATAGAATATCTACTACGAATATTAAGCATCACAAATTGCGTAATCTCAAATTATTTCGAATTGACAGTCGTGATTTCCGTTCACCGGGACTTAATATTTATTTGTTCGCAATTAATAATAATATATAAATCACCGGAAATGCGCATTTTAAAGTTATTCGTACTGTCGTTAATTATAAAAATATAACACTGTCATATTATATATTAATCCGAGACGATGGACAGGACAAGACAAGACGAAATATTATCATGTCGACAGCCCACACGTCTACTGCAATATCACTTCCGGTTAACGTATAACATGTTTTTCTATGACCAATTAACGTTTCTTGTTACTTATTATTATTGTCGCGAAAGAAAAAATAAAAACATTTTTATTCGAGTAAGTTCAACAAATATGATTAAATAGTTATATATATATATATATATATATATATATTCCTTTACATAGACGTCCTCGTAAAAGGAGAGACACAGATATTATGAACTAAAACGAACAAAAATTAACATTTGAATCATACATTTAATATCAGTGGTGCACTTGAATGTTGATTTTGAAGGGGCGATGTTATTCACACACACAAAAACATATCAATATTAAATAAATCATTTATATCTATTATGTACTTGATGGTCCAGTGGTCAGGATTCACTCAATTTAACAAAATAAAAAGAATAATAAAAAAAAAAATTAGCAAAATGTTAGCATAATAATTTGACGAGCATAACAAATTCACCTCGGTTATGCAATCGAATTCCAACAGAAGAGTAACATAAAAAATAATGAAATTAATAATTCTGTAATCTCTCCTGTTTACGTATGTTTTTTTTCCCGTTTTTCCCGATTACTAAGAAAAAAAATTACTTTCACTGTACACCAATTTGATTCAAGATCGTACAAAAAATCTATCTTGTAATTTATTCATTGGACGTCCGATAGAAAAGTTAGTAACAGGCTTACTAAAAAAAAAAAAAATAGTAAAACTTATATATTCCTCGCTCCGTTTAGAATCTAAAAGTTAATAAATATAATAGAAAGATTATAGCGTATTTCGTTTTATTATTAGACCCGTTAGTGTCGTCAGTCGCCTGCACTACTTTGTTGCTCGTGTCATAATTTGAATATATTAGAGAATTAACGATGATAAATGATCATTGACGAACTTCTAAACTCTAAACTCAGAAATCTTCCGAAACTCAGCGAACAACTTCTAACTATAATACAAACGGTAAAATAAAATGTGTGTTGTCACTTGTATAGCAAATATTAATTGCTAATAGTCACTATATACAAAAACTATATAATCAAAGGTTTTTCGGTAAGAATTGAGTAGGAGTTAATAATTTTTTTTTTTTATTTTTATTACTGGTAAATTTGAATAGAATTACAACAGGACTTCAAGTTTAAAACTAAAGTATATTTAATAAAACAATCGTTAAATAAGGCTGACAATGGGATGTTAGTGATGTGTTTTGAAATTTCTTTATTATTGTTTTTTTTTTCTAGACGACTTTTTAGACATCATAAACAATTTTAGTTAGGCATAGTTATTAACCATGGATTTTCGCGATACCTATACTGCTATACCCGTACGGTAGGAACGTTATGGGCGTGTATCGTCAATCCATGCACCAAAAACATATAAATAAGCATGCATTTATTGTACACAAAAAAATGGTAAAACGTACACCTTCGAAAGTTCTACTATAATGATAATACAAAATATGCACTGTTAGAGTTTATACTTAAATTACTATAGTTACGAAACGGATTTTTAACTCACTTAACGTGTTTTCCTTTGTAGTAAAATGAAAAAAATAACGTGCAGATGCTTTGAACGTACAGCCCCTGGTTTATAGATAACATAGTAATCATAATATTATGTGACCGGTAACGTTTACAGCTCATATGGCCAACTGAAAATTCTTACTTTTCTCCCTAATATTATATACTTTTTAAAATAATAGACCGGGGGCAGAAAAAAAAGCATAGTAGACATGTCTTCTAATTCTGACGTTGAATAATGTTTTTTTTCCTTCTTTCAATTTTCTAGACGCAAAAACTATATTATATGTATGTATAGTAGGTGGGTAGGTGTCTTTTTCTTCTTTTGTTTTTTCGTTCTAAAACATTAGACGCGCGGAGCTTTTTATGATGCATCAGCTGCTGTTGTTTCGAACACGCGGGACACTTTACAAAAACGCACAAAATAATAATAATAATAATAATAATAATAATTGTTTTTCAAAGTAGGTACCTACTTATAATATATATTCTGCACTTTGTTCTTCTCTCCAACGCGACAGTTTTTAAGATATTTTTTACATTTAAATAATGTTTTTCAATGGTTTTTTTTTCATTTTTATTATTATTATTATTATTAATTATTTTAATACTTACAACGTTATACCTACATAATCGTAATAATATTATTATCTTTCGTATCCCGTGCAGTTCTGGTATTATCTAGATAAAATATTATAATTTGAAAGATAACCTAAACATCTACCATTGACGTACATAGTTATGATTTTGTTGGATTTGTATGACAATCCTCATTTATGTGAACATATTTAATATTGATGTTGAAAATTGTACCCATTATACAGATATTTCGAAAAGTATTGACTTTTTCTACATTTTTTTTTAAAAATTAATATACAAGCAGCTTTAAAATTTTACTACAACATTATTTTTTGTTACACTTATTTTCGGGTGTGAAATGACTACAATTTTTTAGTTATTAAATGGCAAATTACTATATTAAAAATGCTATAAATTAATTGGCTACATTTTAGTATAATAAATTTTAAATTTCTTTCAACCCGTCAATTAGATATTCCTGTATATAGATCACTTTGTATGTGGGCTTGAAATTATATAGGAGATCTCATCATGACTGCAATAACGTGTAATATCTGAATATTCCAGAACAAAGATTGTGTGAAATAAATATAGGGTTGAATTATACCCATTATAATGGGTATTTTAAGGTAAACAATTACAAAAACCTATAGAATCAGATAGGTATCCAGGATTATTTTATGGAACGGGTGAGGATATTCACTCATAATTAAGTAGTACACTGACAAAGATTTGAAAAAATTTCAATAAGTTGAATGAATTTTAATAGATTCAATTAGTGAAATGTAACATCGTATTATACAATTTTCGGTTTCGGTTTTGATGAATAATATCGGTACACGGTTTATTTTCGTTTTCGCTTTTAAACTGCCGTATTACAATTAATATTGTCCTGTTTGGTTTCGAAAACTACATCAGTATTAAAATTTTGGTTTTATATAGGTATTTACCGGTATTTAATATATCGGTTTCAATAGATTCCAAGCAATGGTCTCAATAGGGAAATTTTGAATTATTGAGTTTCTAATTTTCCAAACTCTATACAACCGTAATAGTCGCTTAATCGTTGTGCAATAATGTATAATTATGTACTGAAATTGAAAAAGTAGCGTAACGTGACTGATAAACCGGTATACCTATGAATATTATTTGTGATGCGGTTTACTTTCCATTTAGCGTGGACAGATTATAAATTATTGTTTCAAGTTTAACACAGTTTTTATAACGCACAAAATAATTGCATCGAATCCACGTAAAACCCGTACCTCTGTGCTATAATAATAATTTACAACAATGTCTTTTATTATAACTTTAAGGAAGCAACAAGTTTTGCCGGCCGGACAAAATATACGCTTTTATATTATTTGTTGGAGTTTTTCATTAAAATTAGAATTTAATCACCCGCGTTCGAGTAAAAACCATAATAATGTTTATTTTGTTCGTGAAACCGAAATAATTTTAATAGCGCTTCGAAGCTGATAATAATAATATTTTAATGTCGCGTAAATAATAAAAAAGAAGCGTAACCTATAAAGAACTCATATAATTTACCTAATATACTCCACCGAAATATCTTTTTTGAGTCTTAAATCTGTCACGTTTAACAAGTTAACACGATTTGGACCAGGAAAATATTGTTACCCGAAATACACATTAAGGGATAGCGCTTATTTTTCTTTTTACTTAAACGCAATCCCTTGGTGTATATTTTAACTTAATAGAATCTATTCAATTTGAATCCATTCGATGGACACAAAAGCGATAGTTCCATCGATTTCATATCAACTCTTTGGCACACACAGATTAGAAATTTTGCAGGAAAAACAGACTGACAGATTGTGCGGGAGTTCGATTCAATCATAGGTAACATATCTCATTAAAATTTTGAAGTTTTTTTGATTATTTTTTAATTATCTTATTTCTCGGTTAAACTTGAACGTTTGTCACGGCTACCAATAGTAGATATCAAACTCCAGTTAGAATCGTTTTTTGTTCGCAATGATTTATCGTTGCTTTCACAGTACATTATTATAAGCTGAACAATGTGATTGCCCTGTAACCTTATACCTACGACCGTGACTTTCCATCGAAAACAGCGACATACCTACGGTGCGTGAATTATTTCTGGCTTTACTTGGTTTTAAATTCTGTGCGCAGCAAGTAATGTACAATGTTATTTTCATGATTTATTTGTTTTATATTTTTGTGTCTGTGAAAAACTTTTTTACCTGAAATCTTACTCCAATCAAGCCACACTTATCAATATTTTTATTTTTGGAATAGTTTCTGGTACCAAATTTCATCTAGTTGAGAATGTATTATTTTTCTTGTTGTTTTCTAAACAATGAGTGAAAATCTGTAATAAAGGTTGGAAAAAAAGAAATATTTACGCAACAACGATTCATATTATTTTCAATTTTTGGCTTTTTATCCTAATTCAATGAAAAAAAATAATTGTTTAGTGACATGAAACTTTTAAGGAGTATATAATAATAGAAATTTCTAGAGGTACGATTTTCAAAATATTATGTTATTGTTTGAGTTATTTATAGTTTTATAGAAATAATTAGTTTTATTTTATTTTATGTTGACACAATTTTTTTGGTTTCTCAAAAATGCTCGAAAATTTGCGATGAAAAACCATGGTTAATAAATCAATATAATAATATTGTGTTTTTTTTTTTACTTGCATCGTTGCGTACATATATAAATGAAATTACCCTATAAATCCTACCTTATTTTTTTTTTTTTTTGGAATCATCCTATCCATCCCAGTTGGAAAACGTACCAATATATTATTCTTAGGTATTTCGAATATTTCGTTCGATTAACAAACAGTTAACGTATTATTGAAAATATAGGCATAACGCACGTTGCCGCGTTTTTACATTTTGGCGTTTAAGGATAAATTCACTTTACAGTTATAATTAGATTTATGTGTATCTCCAGCGTCTAAACGGCGGTGGCATAATATAGTATATTATAATATTGCAGTTTAATAACAGCGTCACGTCATGATTTGCATTTACAGTGTATTGATTAGTTTAATGAAATTACTGAACGAAAGTTAGCAGTATAGTAAAATAATACATTACATTTAATCAAATATTGGAATGAATAAAATTTGGACAGTAGATATCTGGACAGTCGAAAATCGAACAGTTTAAATCTAGAATTCTGAAATTTGAAATATTTACGAATCAGGACAGGACAAAAATTGGCCAGATGTGGTGTTATTCGTTTTATGTATTAAGTAGGAGATATCTTATTAGTTATCGTACAATTAAAAATTACATTTCATGGTGTTTGGTGGTGTTGCAATAGATTAACATACAACAAATATACTCGTTCCAATCAAACAGTTATATAAAAAAAATAAAAAATACGTTTTGGTATTTTTTTCTAGTTTTATTTAAATGTAAAAAAAATAAATGAGAACACTAACTTCCTTGAAACAATATCAAATTTGGACCAACAGTATTAAACAGATTATCATTACAATTATCATTGAAATCGTAGTATCGTTATTATATTTTCGTAACGAACAATCAAAGAGCCAATCAGAGAATATCATGTTCGTGTGTGACTCGTTTCAAGTAGGGAACGTAAATACGCATCCGGTACAGATTTTTACTGATTTAAAATTTTTTTGATTCCAGATTTTGTGCCGTCCAGATATTTACATACCAGGTTTTTACTATATAAATCGTTGGGTCGCTCGTTTAATCGAGACTATTACGAACGATTTTCATATTTTCATTTCTGATACATATCATATCTATATACTTATATTAGCAAACGGGTTCCTCAGGCGTTACTCGTCCATTGCAGCGCGAAGAAACTTTTTATTTTTTTGATTTATTTACATTGTTTCGTGAACAAAAACGTAATCTTTAACTTTTACTAAAAACACATTTACTTACGCCGTCATTTGTTCGATGACTTTTATCGTACCTGGAGTGTTTTGTTTTTGGCTTACAAACATTATGAAACGCAATGGTTTTTAATTTTACATGGTTTTTTTTTTTTTTAAATATTATGTGATGGTTACAACAGAATTATACCAAATAATTGTATTTCACTACTAAAAGTGAGTATGAAATTTTTTCCCTACGTCAATATGATTTCTTCAGAAAAGCCAAAATGTTTAAATATTTTACAAGAGCTTGTATTCGATGATAAAAAAAAAAAAAAAAAACAAAATTAGCGTAATATGAATTGTTTTTTTACCATTTTTCAAGTTCAAGTATCAATGGAAATCGTAAAAATCAAAGAATTTCAAAACATGCCAATCGTATTTTGTCAGTAATGATTTATCGTTGCGTACAGATATAAATCAAATAACATTATGTATTCTAACTTTTTAGTTTTCAACTGCCTATCTACAATAGTGACACACCAATCCACCAATCAGCAGTTTCAGCTTTTGATTTTTTTTAAATGTTTACTCGTCGAGCACTGGAAGTCATGTAATAAATACTCTTCTAATGTATTCAGAATACTTTTTTGAATACTTGCATTTATTTTGATCGAATACTGTGTTTTGGAAGTGATATAGCATTTGAATATATCTACAAATATCGACTAAAGATAATAAAAATATTTTGTTTCTTTTTTACAATACACTGAATGTGCCTAAATAGTTCTACATTCAACATTTAAACAATTACAAATAAACGCCTACACCTACACTCGTTTATACGTATTTTTTATTCAAATAGATTCGAGAATTTCAGATGCTTCATATTATCATGTTATTATTGTTTAATTATATTTTAGGCAAATGATCTTATTAGGGTAGACTTTAGCTAAGTAAATTGCATCGTTGCAATGAGTTACAGCATTATAATAATTAAATATCGATGAAATCGTATAACTAGTTCTTAGAACCGTTTTAAAATGTTATTTCGGAAACGATTAAAATCGTAAAATCCGAAGAAAATCACGCTATAATAGCGTATCGCGAACAAAAGTGTTTTTATATTCTAGAATACAAATGCGATAAAATGTATATTTATACGTATTAATTTTTAAAGTAATCATAATGCATACGTCAAAAAGTATTTCTAAAGTATTTAACAAGACTATGCCGTCCGGTGACAAAATTATTAATTCGGGCGACCGCGCGCGGCTGTAATTTAATATTGGTTTCGGGTTCAATGACTCGCACCGGGAACGACGACAACGACGCGTATCCAATACCGCGCCGGTTCACGTTGGTAAGCACCTACCATCGCGGTCCATATTATATTAAATAAAGCTTTTCTATAGACACATAGCCTATGTATAGTGTATAATAATAATACGATAATTGATGACTGTTTCCGAAGATTCGGTTCGCTTGCTACGGCGGCGGTGTGAAAGAAGCGTGTATCATGCGTAGCAGCATCTTATATGCATTATGTTCGCGGTAACATCTGTTGGCGATACCGAAATCTGTAAAATCGAATTTCAAAAGAAATATCAACTTTAACGGAACTCCGGCGCGTACGTGCAGTGCCGCGTTCGCCGTGGTCACGGTCTGGTCGAGAAAGCCGATAGGTTCAAAAACAGCACGATTATTAATTGATATAAACGCCGTTTGGCCTGTTGAATTTTGTCAAAAATAAAAATAATAAAAACTATAGAACGTGGGAAGTTTAAAAGTTATGCGAGTATATTGGATATAGCGATATTTAATGATTTATATATTATTAAACTAAAAACAACGAAAAATCATTCCTGTAAAAAATCGATTTTAACTGGAGTATTACTAGTCGTGTTTTCCGCTTTGTACTTACAAGATATTTACAAAATTCAACAAAACTATAACCGATATTTTGTTTGTCGATTTGTGTATATTTTCTAGAAAAACTGTTGTGAATTTTTAGGTACCTGTTATAACATATTTTCCGGATAAAACGTTAAGATAAAACATTTTTTTCGATTTAAATTGTATAATAGTATGTAAAGTGAATCGTAGCCGGTTTTTTTTTTCAAACTCTTTAAGCTGTTGATTACCGGTTGGTAAGTTGTTATTAGGACTCTGAACGGGTCTATATATTTAGGCCTAGTCCAGCCAGTTCCCGAATTGAAAAGCCTGGCCCGGCCTGGTTCACACTATACTTCTCCACACCCGATTAAAACTCCCGGACGATTGGTGCCGTACAATGTTCTAATTTACGAAAAAACTAAGTCCAAATTGAAAACTATAAAACGTAAGTCCGTTTAGCTTAGTTCACTTGTGAAAAATATGTAGCCCATCCCTGTCCGCATCAAACCGATAATACCCAATAATAAATGTTCTGTATAAGAATGTCATGGGTATAGCGATGTTTTTAAATATTGAAAGCAACAATAGTAATAAATCATTTATCATTATAGAATTCGAAAAACGATTGTCAACGAAGCTCGCGCAGAATGAGAAACGTTGTATTTTCGTTCTTGCCGTTTTTTCTTTTTTTATTATTATATCTTTGGGTCATCAACGTCTTATATATATATTTTTTAAATCAACTATTTTAAACATACGTCTATTAAATGCAGTATACTGTATATCTACGAAACGAGACGAAACATACAAACAAAAAGGGATAGACAATATTACGGAATGAACAACGAAATTTGTCTCGTTCTTCCCGTGCAAAACATTGATTTATCATAAGTTATACCAATGGGTCATATTAGACATCTATGGTACTTATTATCAATGATGAATCTATGCTTTTTATGGAAAACCCATGGTAAATGTATCTTTTCCATACATTCCGGGCATCCCGTTTTTGCTTAACGAATGTTGGCTGTTAATAATATTTATTATTGTCCGAAACGCGGCCGATTGGTATAATTGTGGCCTGTGGCTTTGAAATGATATCACTTTTGCATATTTGTGAGTTAATACCGGAATGCTTTACATGCGACCTAACGGTTGTTTACTTATTTTTGGTTTTGGATTTTTAGAGCATATTTTGATATTTCTAATGCTTGAGCGTCCAAACGTTTTTTGGCCGTATACAATATTATTATCCGCCCCAGTAACAACAGTTATTATCGAATAGCAGTATAAAAATACGGCATTTCGAACTTTTAATAACAATTCCTCGGTCGGTTCTGTCGGCGTCCGAGATAATGTAATATAAGCGCATAATATCATGCTGTCTACTACACTCGAAATTATTCGAAACGTTTTACCGCGCGTTTATTACGCTAGACAACGATAATGAATATGAAATATCTATACATTTTCACGCGAATATGTATATGAATGTACTGTTGTAGGTAATAGTATAGGAACGTATATTACGACAAAACGCGTGGGTCGTTCATCGGAATTTCGGGGGGGGGGGGGGGAAAAGAA